CCGTGGTGATCAAGGGAAACAAGTATGACTTCAGTCAAAGCTGGAACGTCCATGGGTTCGTTCCTGTCGCTGCTTTCGTGAAGCCTTGCAGCGGGTGCTGCTGTCAGAAGAACGCTTCCTTGACGCTCTCGGGCTCTGCGACTGGAGCCTCGTCTTTCCTGCAATCATGGACGACAGAGGACTGGGAATCAGGTGGCTATCTTACCAACTCCACCACCAAGTCAACAGTATACATGACTTACAACTCTCTTCTTGTCAATCAAGTTGGAATGCTGTGGCAGGATCTTGCGATATCCTCCAAGACTCTATCAGCATTTCTTGACATCATCATCTCGTTTCAAGTTGGGACATCTGACATTTACACCGAAGTGTTATCAAACACTTTCGATTGCTTCTTGCCGCCTGATCCGCCTCAAAACCTCCAAGTAACAAGCTATGGAAATCAAGGTTTTCGATTGGAATTCTTGCCTCCAGTCATTTCCAGGGCAAAGCCCTTGTCAGGTTTTGTCTTTGAGATTGATCTCTGCCAACAGAGCCAGGACTCGTGCACCTCATCGGCCAACCCGTACTATCAGCCTCGTTTCAGCCTTGACACAACCCTTGGGACAGATCTCGGGAATGGAGGAGGTCACACCGAGGAAATCTTAATGAGCTACGGTCCTCAAAATGCGACAGGCTCCCCGTCGACCATCACCTTGCAGATGAAGCCGAAGTTGAACATCGAAGCAGGGGATCAGATGTACATCCGTGCTGGATATCCCAATGTTCTCCTGTCTTCCTTCTTCAGCAACTGCTCTTTAGAGGGACCAGATGGGTCGAAGGTGACTGCATCGGTGCTGAACAGTTCCACGCTCGTCCTGACGGTCAAGGATGGGTATATCTTATGGAGAGGATACGCGGTGAACATCTTGATACCCGAAGCTTGTAACATCTTCCTCCCCAACTTGAAAGAAGCATCCTATGCTAGGGAGTACGGTGAAGGCAATCTCAGCCTCCCCAGCATCATAGTCGCTCCTATCGTTGGTCAAGGCCGACGCTTCGATAACTGCAAAGGCGCTTCCGGTTGCGCAGCCTCCACGACCTATGTCCTGCAGACGCTACAAGACGCGAGCTCTATGGACGTCTCTTGGAGCGGTCAGCTGTACAACGGAGCGACTGGTGTAGGTTGTGGGAACAGCATTTCTGCCTCCTCGCATGTCTACCCGGCAACCGCGTATTGCAGCCAATATTCACCCAACAGTAACAACGGCCCGCAAGGAACAGGAGACAACGGATCTCCCATAGCGAATGGTGCTGCTTATATCTCAAATGCTGCATCATGCAGGTCAGGCACTTCTCAACAGAATCCATGTACCTTGCCCATCGGCCAAGACTGGATCTTCAGCACAAACATCTCCTACCTCTTCAACCAGTCTTCCTCCAACAATCTTACTGGTGTAGAGTTGGAGTTTTTGCGTGATCGAGCTTTGAGCATCGGCGATGTGATTTCAATCCAGGTGGACAAGATCTTTGTGTCTCAGCAGATTGCTCCCTTGTGTAATTACACCTACGAATATCAGAGTGGGATGGACTCGTGCTACGTCCTTGACACCGCCGTCTATCTCAACTACACCAATCCGCTGACAGGATGGACTTCAAAGTGGAACACCATGACGTCGTCCTTTGAGATTCAAGTTGGATCTCAGGTGTTGCAGAGCTCCATCATCTGGATCAGGATCAGCAACCTGCACATGTACTCGACCGTCGATGCCTCCAAGTTGACCTCTCAACAGATCTGCACGGTGCAAAGGTCGGACAAGACAACCATCATCTTCCATAACGGCATGGCTGGAATCGGCTACTCCACCTCCCTCGGCGACCCAGTTGCAGGCTACACGATCAGTTCCACCATCCCCATCAACCAAGGCAGCATCTATCAGTTCCGAATGTTCTCCTACAACGGACGTTTCAAGAGCGCCGCCACCCAGTCGCCGGTGCAAAACCGGGCGATCGGACCCCCTAAGGTGACATGCTCTGCTCCTAGGAGCCCTCGTGACTGGCTGCTTGCTGACTGTTGTTGTCTCAGCCTCCATCTTACTTCGCACAGATGAAGCAGCACCTGATCCCCGTCAATCTCCAGTACAGCCTCCTCTCGTCCACCCTCGTCGCCACAGGCAGCTCGTCAGCTCGGGTGTCTCCTCAGCTCCCCTACCTGGGAGAGGCGACGAGGATTGGAGTCACCTTCACCTCCGACGTGCTCATCAGCGAGTACCAGACTTTGACGCTGCTGCTCGAGGGATTCGGAGGGCCGAGCCTCGTCGACATCCCGCCCAGCAGCCTCTTGGCAGAGACGTACTACCCCTACGGCAACAACGCTGGATGTCAGTGCGGAGCGGGAGGGACCATCATCATACCTGCAAGCACGTCGGCGTCATGTCAGTATCCTACCGACGTCACGAGTTGCACGCAGTGCGGGTGCAAGCAGAACATCACCAACACCAAGTTCGCCAAGGCGAGCTGGTCAAGCTACACGTCGAGCCTGGTGCTCACGGTAGGGGAGAATCAGGTCATCCCTCCCGGGCAGCAGCAGATCGTGTGGGTGGCAAAGAGTGTGGGAATCACGACGCCAGTCGATCCGACCTTGTTCCCTCCAAGCGGCTCCAACTACGTGTCGGGCAGACTCGCAAGGTTCTCGCTGAGCTGGGTCAGTCCCTTCCCGACGGTAGCAAATCCTCGCACCGGATTCCTCGTGCAGGTATCAAGTGCTAACCTTGCTTGCCTGAGATGACTGTGCTTCTCAGTTCACCACAGACATGTACTGGAAATCCGACATCCAGACTGTGAACTTTCCAGATCTTCTGAATCGAGGAGTGAAGGAGGTCGTGCCTTTCACGAACCTCATCGCTGATGTCACTTCAACGGATCCGATGATCAAGATTGCAGTTCCATATGCGATGTTCGTGCAAGGCAAGACCATACAGATTGGCTACGAGCTGATGCTTGTGGTTTATGTTCAGAATCACACTCTTTACGTTGAGAGAGGTTACTTGGGCACGTCAGCCACTTCTCACCAGGCTCAGGCGCTCACTCCAGGCTGTACATGCAACGACTTGCAAACGTGCCAGTGCTATCAAGTGTTCCTCGCGTACACGTACGCCACAGACATATCAGACAGAAACGGAGGCATCGACTACCAGACGGGCTTCAACGGCGACTCTTGCCGTGTGGGCACGCAATTTGTAAGTCGAGGATGGAAACCTTCTAAACCTCTTCTGACTTATCACTGGCAGGATCAAGAAGGCTGCAATCCGCTCAAGATTGCTTTTGGAACTCAACCTCGAACCCATCAAAAGGCAACCATCATTGACTTCGGCACAAAGAGCGTCGACTGGATCTCTGCCTGTGGGGGGTCAAGCGTCAAGACTTGCTCACAAGACTGCAAATGTTCGGCAACTACCCTCCTGCCCTCCATGGAGTTTGGGAACGTGATCAAGGCATCCAACATCTCCCTGTCCACTCCCGGTTACGTGCTGGACTACCCGTACAACCCTGTCACAACCTCGACAACGACTATCGCGGACGACCAAGTTCAGTACTTTGCTGTTGCAGACCCATCTCAGTTGCTAGGAAAGTTCATCAGGGTTGACGACGAGTTGATGTTTGTGAAGCAAGTCTCCCGTGGAGTCCTGGGCGTCAGCAACTATCAGCCGATCCCCTCGACCTGCTCCTGCCCGTCGTCCGGTCAACTCGGACAGTTACAGACCAACTGCATCTGCTCAGGGAGCGCTGGCACCAACTGCACGGCAGGAGGGACCCTGTCAGCCAACGGAGGAGGAGGGGTGGGGTTCTCTGCTACCTTCTCAGTCACCGGGGGGTACATCAGCAACGTTGTCGTGACGTCACCCGGGGGTAAATTCGTTGCTACCCCCAGCATCAGCATAGCGACGGGAGGTGACGGATGCGTTGGAGCAACCTTCTTCGCTCAGATGTCCTCCAACGTTCTCCTAGTTGTCCGAGGGGCTCTAGGGACTGTGGCGACTACCCACACCTCCGGGGCTCAGGTCTCTATCGTTCCCTGGCCGTCTCAGAGCAGCCTCAACTACCCCGGGCTGCAGTACTACTTCAGGGTTGCTGCTTACAACTACGCAGGGATCAGTTCCTTCCTGTACTACGACCTGAGACTCTTCTCGGTGACCCCCCGCCAGCTGGCTGCCGCTGGTAACTCCATGCTGGAGATCGTGCTTATAGGGGGTGGTACCACTGCTACCAACTACACGGTCTACGTGGGGCGCCTGACCGCAGCTGGGCAGGTCGATATGATAAGATCAAGGGAGTGCACCAATGTTCAGGTGATCGACAGCGCTGGCACGAAGATAAGATGCTTCTCGCCGAGTTGGGTCGGTAAGACCCACGACCTGATCGTGCAGTATCGGGAGGGGATGTTCACTCAGATCGCCAAGGGGAACAGCTGGATGAGTTTTAACCCTCCTGCCATCACCTCCATCTTCCCAGCCCTCATCGACTCCAACACGACAAGCGTCAACATCACTGTCTTCGGTAAGAACTTCGGCAAGTACAGCTCGGAAGCGAGCGGGAAGTTGGTTGGCTCCACGACGGTCTCGTGTACTCCGCTTGTGATTCAGAATGACGCCAAGGCCGTGTGTTCGCTCCGCGCTCCTACCGGAGTCAGCCTCCAAGGCAACATACAGCTAACCATCGGCAACGATCTGACTGGCGGGGGGCAGCAGACAAACTCAGGCCCACAGACTAAGTTGTCGCTGAAGCCTCAGCCCGTGCAGATGCAAGCGACGGTCCCTCTCAACATCTCCAGCTTTCCTCCCGGATCCTCGGCAAGGAGCAGCCTGGAGACGAACTTCAAGACCGACATCGCAAACGCCGCTGGGATCGCGATCTCTCGCATCGTTATCCTCAACGTGACCGCAGGCAGCATAATCTTCGACTTTCAGATTCTCCCAGACTTGACTTCAGCCTCTGCTCCTTCTCCTGCCTCGGTTGCTGTGAACCTTGCAAGTCAAGCTACCGATCCCAACTCGAAACTCCGACAGGGCTCGATAACGTCGCAGATCTCGCTCCCTCTCCCACCAGGGGTCCAGGCGCAAGCAGCTACCAGTCAGGCCTCCGCTGCCTCCAATCCCAACCCATCATATTACTCTCAATGCTTTGCCAGGAGTTATCAGAGTGACGACATGCGTCGTTGCTACTTCTGTTGCCAGTACTTGTGCATGTTTGGGCCCGATGCGCCCACCAATGTGAGTAACCTTTCCCCGACCTCTTGTGGTTGGTTCTTGACACTCTCAACAGGTAACTGGATTCCTCATCCAAGGGCTTTGTGAAAGTCTGTGCATGCTGCATTGCGGATATGGACGTGCTTTGCCGGTTTGACATGGTAGGGTGGACAATTATGAGGCGAAATGTATAGAACGAATGTTAATTCCCGAAATGCTTTATTAGAGACCTCAGAATCATGCGTAAACATTACTCGTGCGTACTTCGGAGTACCAAACAAAATAAAAAGAAAAATCTTGTAAACAATCACGACCATTATCAATATCAATACCACAAATTCATCGGTAGCCGGTTTGTTCGTTTCAAAAGATCACATTTCGTTTCGATAGCATCTGTCCACAAACAACCCCATGAACAGCCTTGCACAAGCGTCAACCAGACCTAGTATGTGGCCATATTGTCATCTTGGCTGGAGTTTTACAGCATGGAGTTCTTGTTGCCTTTGTAAGAGACTAAGACACAGAGAAATAACAGAATAGAGGTGACAGCAACGGAGTTTCATATAACCACAGTCACGCGAAAAACAGGGACAAGGTCTTTTGTCACCTTGCGTCATTATGGACAGCATGCACAGTGAGTGTGGTGGTTGTGCGTAGTTTACCTCCTAGTAAACTTAGAGACTTCTATTTCCTGCTTCTCAATCTTCTTCATCCTTACTTTACTCGTGTCGTTGACAATCTCTGTGTTGTGTATACAACATTCTGGAAGCGAAGTGGTTGATTCATGACCTCGAAACAAGGAAGAGGAGGAAAGAAACCTCAGCCGGAAAGGAGCCCTCAACCTCGATCTAAGCAATCAGGAGCATTTCAAACAGAAATTGCTGAAGAGAGTTCTGAGGAAGAAGTCGAATGGAGCGAGCGGCTGCAGCTGCAGCAGCAGCAGCTTTCTCCGAGTCAGACCAGTGGATCTTTGACTCAACCTTATAGGGATGGAGATGTACAACGTGAAGCGCTGTCTAGCGCGGATCAACGGGCCCGAAACAAGAGGGATACTCCCTTGCGAAGTATTCTGCGATCAGCCTTCAGGAGGCAACTCAGAGAGCAGCCTCCCCTGCAACATCGGTACGTCTGCCAAGCTCGGAAAATTTTTCATCCGACCCCGTCATGTCCTCGCCAGTGGCGCAGGACCGAGCTCTTCTCCTTCTTCGTCGAATGTGTGCCCTCCTGGCTGACACCACGCAGGACGAGCGTTTCCACATGCTCGCCAATGCTGCCGACGAATTTGCGACAGCCGACGCTGCTGCAACACCAGAGCTCCCGCATCTCGCACGGAAAGTTACCCTGCAAGATGCTAATGCTGATATCTATTCAGCTGAGGAATCAGCTAGCGCTGAATCCTCTGATCAGGAACCAGTCCTCTCCAATCGGACTCTCGTGAATGTGCTAACGAACTCCAAGAGTTTCAATTCCAGCCGCATTCCGATGTACAAAGGTTTTGCTGATCCCCGCTCTGTCGAAGAATTCCTTCGTCAGTGCAACCGCGAATTAATCGCTCAAGAGATCCCAACTCGCAAATGGGTGAAGAGCATCACGCCGTTGTTCACCAACGAAGTGATGGTGGTGGTAGAACGTAAGTACGGAAAGAGTCTCGAGGCCATCAACAAGCTTAAATGGGATGAATTTTCAACTCATCTAAGTTCGTGTCTAGCCCCAATGCGGCAAGCCAAGAATTATCAGACTCAGCTTGATCAGCTCAAGCAGCAGCCCAACGAATCCGCCTGGGCGTACTTGACTCGCGCCACGACACTCTTCGCAACGCTCGAATCGCAGGTAGGGTCAGCCATACTGTACTTCAACGATCAGCCACTCCGGAAATTCATCAAGGGATTTTCGCATACGCCGACGCGCACGTCTATCCACACATGGTTTACGATTTATCGCAGTCAGTACGGACACGGAGAAGACATGTTCTCTCGCCTAGTCACTTTCATCACAGCTCTTCTGGACGATGGTGAACCGCTAACAGTGTCTAAGCAGCCTAACTCAGCTGCTGCTAACGCTGCGCAGACCTCTTCGCACACGAAGGCCAAAGCCAACGGTGGGCAGAACAAGAAGAAGTCCCACGGTAAAGAAAACCAGCGCAAGCAGAAATCCATCCGTTGTTTTTACTGTCAAGAACCGGGTCACATCAAGCCGGACTGCGAGCAGTACAAGCGCGAAGTCGCCCTCCAGCAGGAGCGCCATGAGAAACTCATGGCCACCCAGCACGAACAGCATGTTCAGCTTTTAGCTGCTCTTCAACCGCTCGCATCGCGCGCGGGAAACGAGTAGCGGCGGCAGGCAACGAGAGGGGAGCATCACTTGCTCCTCCTGCCGCTGGTCTTTGCCCCAGCCCTCTCTTACCAGGTAGCAGCGCTTTACCTCCTCATCGGAGCTCGCTAAGCCATTTCGTGCTGCCGCCTGATCGGAACGCGTCGTGCTCAACGGCCGCGTCCCTTCCTACGGGTCAACTACATGTTTGCCCCTGCTTAGCCCTCAGCCGTGGCGACGCCTCCGCGCCGCTTCAGCTCGCCTTACCCGATCTTATTCGGCTCCCCGTTAGCGTCAGCTCTTCCCGAGTTCATGCTCACCAGACCGTTGCCCTGCTCGATCACGGCGCGACGATCAATATCATGTCTCAGCAGCTTTTTCAGCAGCTGGGCCTCTCCGAGACTCTGCTACAGCGTGATACTCAGTTCACCGTGCAAGTTGCGGACGACCGCCAAGTGCAAACCCTCGGCGCCGTCTCGCTCGCCTATCGCATCGGCCGCTTTTCAAGCAAAGATACGTTTCATATCTTGCCACGTTGTTCTCAACCCCTGATCTTGTCCCTCCAGTGGATACATCGTCACAACGCTGTATACGTTCCGCGGACCCGCGAAGTGTTCGTCGATTCCCCCAAAGCTCGACGAGCCCCTCCGATTAGCTTGCCAGTTCAGCATCAAGTGCCCTACAAGGACTCGGTCTTAGCCGTGACAACCGTCTCGCTCACCGATGCTCACGCTCTGCGCGTCGCCAATCCTAACGAGGAATAGTTCTTGTTGCACCTGCATGTCCCAACGACAGCTTCCGCCTCGGCCTCTTCCGCCGACCCGCCAGTGGGCGCCCCCGCTCACCTTGCTCAAGCCCTCTCTGAGGAATTCGCCGACGTCCTCGTCGACGACCTGCCGCAAGGACTTCAGATCAACCGTCCCCCTCAGTTTGACGCTCACATTCAGCTCAAGCCAGGGACCTTGCCCATTAACTGCAGGCCATATCGCATCCCCCTTCATCTTGAAGGAGAACTCCAGGCTACCATCGCGTACATGCTCGAACACGACATCATCGAACCCTCCAATAGTGAGTTTGCCTTTCCTGTGCTTTTCAGTCGACGTCCCAACGATCCACGCTCCCCAACTGATCCCAAAAGCTACCGCTTTTGCTGCGACCTTCGCCGCTTGAACCAAGTCGTCTTGAATCAGCAGACCGCCGCAACTCCTGCCCGTCGCACAACCGATGAGCAGCTATGCATCACTACGCTTGATTGTATCAAGAGTTTTTGGCAGGTACTCGTACGTGTTCCTGATCGCCGATATCTCGCGTTCATCACACCGATTGGTCACTACCAATACAAGCGCCTACCATTTGGATTCATCACTGCCAGCAGCATATTCCAAGGATTCATCCAGCAGGTCCTCCATGATCTACCCCACACGTTTGCATACATCGACGACATCGTCATCGCTACGTATTCCACCTGGGAAGCTCATGCAGATCACGTTCGCGCCGTGCTTCAACGCTGTCGCGAGCATCAGGTCTTCCTTAAAAGAGAGAAAGCTCAATTCTTTCGCACTAGTGTTGACTTCTTAGGTCACCGTGTCTCCGATGACGGCGTGACGACCCAACACTCCAAGACGGCGGCTATCTCCGCGTGGCCGCTACCGACGACTACTAAACAAGTCAAGATGTTTCTTGGACTAGCTTCCTATTATCGAAAGTTCATCCGCAACTTCTCGACAATAGCAGCCCCTCTGACTGACCTTCTCCGCAAGGGCGCTCAGTTTCAGTGGACTGCAGCATGTCAAAGCGCGTTCGACAACCTCAAGCAAGCTCTGACGTCTCAGCCCCTCCTGCATCACTTCGACCCGTCCATTCCGACCGAAGGCGTGCACTGCGACGCGTCCAATGTCGGGATAGGAGGCGTACTTCTACAGCAGCCTCCCAACGCCCCCGCCCGCGTCATCGGATTCTACAGTCGTAAGTTGACTCCGACCGAACAACGCTATCACGCGACCGAACGAGAGTTACTCGCAATCAAGGATACCATCCTTTTCTTCAAGTTCTACTTGATAGGGACTCCATTCAAGGTCTTTACTGATCATCAAGCTCTTACGTATTTCCAGACACAGAAAGACATCAACAGCAGATTGATTCGTTGGCTTCAAACGCTCAGCGAGTTTGCAATCACCGAGTACTGTTACGTCAAAGGTTCTCAGAACGTCGTCCCCGACGCTCTCAGCCGTCAAGATGAAGTTCCCCTCTCGACTGCAGTCGCTCCTCATCACGAGCAACTCTCTCGTCAAGAGGACGGCTTCTTGCTCGCCTTCACCGTCAGCGCCTTGCAGCCTTTGTCGGACCAGATTCAAGCCGCCTACGAGACGTGCGACTTCTGTCGTCCTCTTATCCAACGTCTCCGCGCCAAGTCTTCCGTAACTTCTTTTCATCTGGATGATGAGCTTCTGTTTTATACAGATTCGCTGCGCCGCATCCGCCTGTGCATTCCGCAAGCATTGCGTCGAGAAGTTCTCTTCCGCGCCCACGACCTTCAGTCCCACCTCGGGTTTTCAAGAACCTACCTTCAGCTAGCAGCAACTGTTTATTGGCCCCAGCTTCGGAAAGATACCGAGCTTTACATCCTGTCATGCCAGCATTGTCTTCAAGGGAAATCTTATCGACAACGACCAATGGGAACTCCTCATTCCCACGCCGTTCCCTCGACACGCTTCGAAGTCGTCAGTCTCGACTTGCTGACCGGACTCCCACGAACTCGAGATAAGAACGATGCCATTCTTCTCTTCATTGACGAGTTCACAGGGCGAGTTTATCTCACCCCTTGCCGTAAATCGATCACTTCTGAACAAGCTGCTCAAAAATTCATCGAAACCGTGTTTCGATCCCAAGGCCTTCCTCAAGTCCTTATCAGCGACAACGCTGCCATCTTTTCGTCCAGATTCTGGAACGCGCTCTTCAAGATGCTCAACGTTCACGTGAAGCATTCGTCGCCTTTTATGCCTCAAAGCAACGGTCGACCCGAGCGTATGAACTCCGTCGTCCTCGAAGCACTGCGTATCTACACCACGCAGTATCCTCGAGCCGATTGGGATAGGTACCTCCCCATCCTGGAGACTCACCTAAACTCAGCTGTTCGCCGTCCCATCGGTGCCAGCCCTTTCGAAGTCATGTTCGGCAAACCTATCAGGACACAACTCTCTCTGCCCTCACCTGACGATCATCAGGACGAGACCCTCGCCTCCATTCGTGAAGCAACCGAAGTCAGCGCCGAAGCTGCCCGAGCTGCTCTCGAAGCTGCAGCGCGAGCCACCGAAGCTCGCCTTGCGCAGGCCCGTCGTCCCTGCCGCTATCAAGTTGGAGATCTGGTCTGGCTCTCTACCGCCAACCTCAACATCCCCGACGCCGCCTCGAAGCTCAACCCTCGCTTCGTTGGTCCCTTCCGCATCCTGGAATTTGTTTCAGACAACACCGTTCGTCTCGACGTCTCTCCTCGCTTCGCATCGATCAGAAACACCGTCATCAACATCAAGTGGCTTGTCAAGCGCAGATGGAGCGATGTTGTATGGAGCGATGTTGTAAGTTGTCAAGCGCAGATGGAGCGATGTTGTATCCATGAGGATCCGGAACCTCGGATACTCGTCGGATACTCTGCCGGATATTCCCTATATAGGCGGACGCATCTCGTGCGGACGGCCTCCTGAATTTCCCCCACTTGCATGCACAGTGAGTGTGGTGGTTGTGCGTAGTTTACCTCCTAGTAAACTTAGAGACTTCTATTTCCTGCTTCTCAATCTTCTTCATCCTTACTTTACTCGTGTCGTTGACAATCTCTGTGTTGTGTATACAACAGTTTCCAATGACACGGGACTTGGCCGCATGCTTCCGCACAAACATACCTGCGTTCACACATATGTGCGATTCACCCAAATCTCAAAACAAATGCAAGTTCCATTCACAACGTTCCACTAACGTTTGTGAAGATGCAATCATCAGGTGGACACCAGACATGAAAAACGATGAAGCATATTACGACGAGCAGGCACTGCTATTATGCCTATTTCATTTTCTTTTTTTTTAACTGTATCCGACGCGTTGAAACTGTCCCTCGTGATCAGCTGACAAACCCATGTGACTTTGTGTGTGGTAATCTCAAAAACATTGTCCCGTTCCCGATTGGGTCTGTGCATAATACAGCGCTTCGTATCCGAAATTATAAGGTTTCGCGTTAGCAAGAACTGGATCTTCCGAAGCAATGCTTTTACTGACCGGGGGTAGCGTGATCATCGGAAAACATGTCCTCGCAAGATATTTACTATAGAGCCAGGGCCCCGACAGACAATGGTACAAACATTGACTATGGGCATACAAGATCGTTGGGGGACGGGTGACAGGGGCTGGAAAGCTGACACGATGACAGGATCCCGAGATTCAATTACCACATCGCTTCGCTTAAGCCGGTGGAGTAAAATCTAGGTATCCAGAAGGGGAGGGTGGACACGGAAGTAGACAGGGTGGGGTTCGAGGAGGGTGTGACTTACGGAATATGGGTGGGTGACAAAGTGCCTGGGTGGGTCCGGACTCATCGACGTAGGAGATCGGAATCTTCTCCCTTGTTCTGCGGCCCAAGGGACCCCTACCCCCTTCAGTTCTATCACCCTGACCCCATTTGCCAAGGCTTCAGGATACGACTGCTAGCGTACAAGCATATCAAGCATGGGATGTAGGGTGGGGTACTTAATAATTGGGTTGTATAAGAGAAATATCTTCACTGGGTTTGGCTATTGCTGCCGGGTGGGTGGTATGTAACTAAATTGTGAAATCCGACCTTCTTGACTTCCTACCCTAACCCCCCCCACCCCACCGACCCCCTCCACCCCTCACCCCCTACTCCCAAGCCACCTCTTGACCTCGGATGGAACCAAAGCTGACCCAGGATGAATTCGTACCCAGGTAGGAGAGAGATGTTGGGGGTTCATTTTTTGACCTACAAGGTTGGGTGACAAGGATATGATTTACAGGGGTCGGGTACTCCCAAAAAATGGGGTGCTTTGATATGAGTTGTGTCATTGAAGGGGTACTTGACAAAGGAGGGGTCCAAATTATACCAGTGTAGAAGTTTTCGAAGCGGAAAAGCAGGGTTATACATGGCACAAAGTCATTTCGATGGTGGGGTGATCGAATATTGGAACTCCCAGGCTGGGTGGTAGTTAGGAGGGGGTGTAAGATGACGTGGAGGATTCTCCATTTTTCAACTTCATGGGGTGGGGTAGAACGGAAGGCTTGATGGAGTCAAAGGGGTGGAGGGTAGTGCTGGTCGATTGACCACTTGTTGCCAGTACCAATGTCACCGCTATCAGTTGGGACCTTTGAGGTACCAATCAAGAGCGTGAAATATCGATTCTGCAACTAACTTCATAGGTACATCCATCGCCCCTTGACTTTTTTACTACTCTCACCCCAAATTTGGGATACAACCCTTTCTCCAGTGCGTACCATCTTCATACCCCCGACCCTACTACGCTTGATACCCGATAGGGACCCCCCCCCCCTGCACAACGACCTGACCTTGATAGACCCGATCGACCAGACAAAAGTACCCCTCTCCCCCGGAGATATTTTATATAGGGTGGTTCAAGACAAAGGATTCACCCTACCCTTGTAGATGAAGTATTCACCACTACCCCGCAACAATCCAGCCAAGAATTTGGTCCTGCATAGGTAGGGTACGCCAAAGGGAGGGTATGCGTGTAGGAGGTGGGGTGAGTTACGAAGCAATTGTGGTAAAGTGGAAAAGGACCCTTGGGTGGGGTGGGGTACCTTGCCAGAGTACCAGGGCGACGTGGAGGGGGTTGGGGTCAGGGTATCAGGGTTGGGTCGGTTTGCACCCTCCTCCTGCCTCCTCGGTACAGCCTCATCTCCTCCGCATCCTCTGGCCGCGTCAAGAACCTGTCGCCCACCCCCACTCCTCCCCTTCTTCCCCTTCTGCACTGAAGCATCTCAGGACAGCCCTCTCGCTGATCTTCGTTTGCATGGCAGCTTCTTGGCACTGATCTTATCGAACGCTTGCAGGAGCAAACGTTTTCGATCAGATCAAGAACCAACGCGACTGCAGAAGCAAGCGGAATATCCTTGCTGCGAAGAGCCAATCCGAGCAGCATCAAAACTCTCTTTCCTTCTTCGTCCCTCTCATCCCTCTTGACGCGGTCCATCCACATACTTTGTCTTCCCAGGCGAAGTAAACATTTGCGGAGGAGCCATTTCAACCATCCCAACGTAGGAATACTGTCTTGTACACGAAGCAGATAGAAGACCCTTTTAGTTCTCCTCTGTTGTTTCGCAACAAGAGCACCAGTAGAGGCCTTTCATCTTGCCCAAAGGAACATGAAAGTCTTCGACCTCAACCTGCGATCATGCGGATTGGATGCCGGATGGTTCTGCGCTCCCGCTCGGAGCTCAAAGCGCTCATGTGGGAGTGGATGGGGAGCATGTATCGATCTTCCTGATAGCAACAGGTTTGATTTTTCTGCGTGAAGGATTTGGAAGTGACATTTGCTGCAGGGAGTTCGTACAACCTGAAAGCAAGGCGTTTGTTCAGGATGACATTCTGATTGATGCCGATGGGCTTCACGTCAACAACAAGAAGTCTTTGCACCAAGAATCAGAGCTTTTTCTTCTCCTACAAACAGCAAGGAGAGCATCACAGCGCCATGATGATGATTCGTTGTCCACAGCTTCAACACACATCGACGACGAACCAACAATGATTTCTGCAAATCGACTCGCAAAGCACGCCGGGGTGCCATCTATCAGTGACAAAAGGAAAGACAATCGCTATATTCCACCAGTATGGAGGACTGCAAGCACCAGTTCGGACAAGAGTCTTCAGCTCCCATCGCTCACTGGATTTAGCTCCAGTTTCTCGCAAGAGGGTTCATCAGGAAGGAAAGAAGTCAGACTCTGCAACATTCAGAAGATCAAGGAAGTTGGGAAAGGCAATACTGCAACTGTTTGGAAGTGCATCGATTGTTCAGACAGAAGAACCCTTGCTGTAAAAGAGGTGAATGATTGATACCTTATGAAAAACGATTTACTTACTCCTTCTGTTTTAGATGCCAGTGGATCGGGATGAGAAGAGAAAGGACATGGCACTTCGCGAAATGGTCACAATGTTTGGGATCGATCACGCTGGAATCGTGGCTTGTCACAATGTTTTCTACTCCAAGAACATGTTTCATATCGCCATGGAGTACATGGATGCAGGATCGCTTCTTGATGCAATGCGGAGGACCTGTCGCCAATCGGGGAGCTACACGATGCCTTTGCCTGCCCTGGCGCATGTTTGCCAAAAGGTTCTCAGTGCCCTGGACTTCCTGCATGAAGGCATGCAACTAGTGCATCGGGACGTAAAGCCTGGAAACATTTTGCTTTCTGTCCAAGGGGAGGTGAAGCTCGCTGATCTTGGTATTTGTGCACAGCCGATTACAGAGGGTGGATTGCAAGAGGAAAGTACCGGGGTTTGTGCGACACCTGTTACAGAATGGATCGGAACAGTGACGTACATGTCTCCTGAGAGGTTGTTGGGAGAGGCCTACGGCTACAGCGCAGACATGTGGAGTCTGGGGCTTGTGCTGGTCGAGGCTGCCATGGGGAGATACCCTCTGACGCCTTCGGACTTTCAGGGAAACTTGCAATTCTGGGATCTTCTTGACATCGTGATGTCTGAGTCAACTTGCGCTTTCAAGCTGCTTGAGGGACTCGACAGGGAATATGATGAACTTCGCACTTTCACAGATGCTTGCTTGATCAAGGACGGAGTTACCAGACCCTTGGCTCGAGATCTGTTTGGACATCCGCTTTTGAACTCTGCAGACCAGTCTGTGTTTGCACAGTGGGTTTCCAGAAGTTTGACAGAGCGGGGTTGTGACATTCCTGATTCCCAGTGTCTTGAGGTTGATGGTTGGGCTTAGGAAGATTCTCATTTTCGTGCTTTGAGAGCTTTAGCTGATTTTGCATTTATGTTATTCATTACACTGTACTTTGTTTGTTACCCAATGCTTGTGTGCTGTCGACGGTCACGTTTGCAAAGTGCGTCCCGGACTCCCGTCTGAGAGTCCGCGGCACTCAGTGACTTCGGCTGAGTCCCATTACGAGGATCGGACACGGTGTATGATCGGATGATCCGTGGCATGAGCCAAGTGCGCCGGGGGCTCCACGCACCGCACGCGGCTAGCGGCACCCCCGCGGGCCGGGGGCCGGCCGCCGCTCCTGTCGTAGACGGTGATTATTCTGCCAGAGCCCGGCGGGCTGATGACCATACTAGTGACCAGTGACTTTAGTAGTGACTAGAATGGCACTGCAACTTAGCCTACTACGGTACATAGCGCCCCCCCCGCAGTGCTCAGCAGAGTAGCCTGCTACCCCGCTATGGGCGCGGCCTACCCGGCCGCCAGCCCGGCTGGCATACGGTGACCCGGCCGCCCGGCGCAGCGCGGCCGCTTGAACGGTCACGCGGCGTCAGTCTCGGCGATCGGACGGCCGCGGCGGCGGCGCTGGGCCCGGCGGCCCGGCGCTGAGTTGGTCCGGGCAGTGAAGGGGATGAGGGATGCAGTGGCCTTTCACAATGCACAGGATGATGCGTGAGTTGGGTGGGGTGCCGGCAGTAGCCGCGTTGGTCAGTGGGCTTCTCCTTGTCATGATGGTGATGTCCTTGAGACCGAGTCCCACTGAGAGGGTTCTGCTGGAACGAAAGCATGCTATGCCTACTATCTCCCGGCGATTGCGCTTCCAGGTATGAAGGAATTTTTAAGTACCTTGGCGTCAATTCTTCGATGAAACTTGATGTCTGTGCTGAGTCATATGAAGATACGTTGTAATCATTGTTGTCTCTTGTTCTGCTCCAAGACTTTGAGCTCTACCTGTTGGCAGTCATGTGCGTCGTGTTGAAAACTCTCGATGCTCAATGGTGCATGATCCATTTTGACTTTCTCTCTCCAGAAATCAGCAAGGCTTGCATATTTAAATAGTCCAGGTACTGAAAGCATTATGAACTTTGCAGAAGATTTGACATCCGATTGGTTTACAGTAGGAGCGAGGCAAACAGCACTTTGGGATTTCGAGGAGGGGGGGCCGACGGTGGCGGACGTAGCAGGAACAAACTACAACCCTGTTGTGCTCGACGACGCAGTACGTTTCGCTCTCTTGATTGTAACTTTCGATGAGATACTGAACAGGTGTCAAGGAGAGGTTATCCGCCTCTCAACAGCGGCTGGGAGGAGTGGGGCTGTGGAGGGAGCGATAGCATGATGAACGAATACCCTTGCTCGCACTATTACTATGATGACTGAGGCAGAGGCAGTTATAAGCAAGAGAATGTACATTAATGATTTGTTTTGCCGAAACCAAGGCTCCACATGCGAACTGCCGAAGTCCAAGATTAGAAGATGTCGGTCTGATCGCTGATCTTGGCAGTTCAGGACCAACGCGAATGCTGGTAGAGGCTAGTGCAAAGAATGAAATAACAACGAACATTGAGATGAAAGTTTCAAGATCCATGGAGTAATCTAACACCCCACTTGCTCGTTGGGCTATCATGATATTCTCAAAAGAGCATGGACTCCCATCTCTGTGTCGAAAGCTTCGCTCCGTGACCCCACCTGCTCGCACCCATTACTTGATAGTTGGTCTACCAAATTCAGAGAGCGCGCATCTGTCGTCAAGGATCTCACCGCCAGCTTTTCGGCTATTCGCTTGAACGAAGAAGGCATGTTGGCAAATTCATCCGTCGTCTGTTCCTCGTCATTTCACCAGGCAGGCGAGCAAAGACGACAGAAGAAGAGGTTGTTAACAAGGCTTAAGACAAGAGAGAGGAGGGAATTGAGTTTCAGATGCGCATACCATTTCTCCAAATACTTTGTAACTTTGACTGTCGCTGACTCTTGCGGTTAACTGATGCAATTCAGTTTCGAAACCCTCACAACTCCTTTCACCACCTGGTCGAAAGTTATCTCCCCGTGTTTTACATCGCGCAGGTATCCCTTCATAAGGCGAATCGCATCCGCCTGATCCACAACATCACCTTCCTCACAACACGTAAAACTGACGACTTACCTTGCTTCTTGCCTTGATTTCCTTGCCCTTGGGATCTCTGTCTGACACAGGATCCGCCACTCCGCTAAATTTCAGGAGGACATGTTTGACTTTCATCTGGCATGCAGGCATTTACATGGGAAAAATCCTGCAGAGCCAAATCCTCTCACTGGGCCATCTGCCTTTTCCTTCTTCACGGGCTTCTCTGTGTCCCCGACCGTATCCCTTCCTCGCTTCGAGCTGCTCGCTGATTCAACCTGCAGGAATTTAGCACACTCAGCCTCCTACGGTCATAGTCCACAACATGGAACAGCGCGCCTCCATCCTTCGCACCCAATCGTACTTGATCCCCTCCCTGCAGCCTTGTCGGCTCCTCAGGCGAAATCCTCTTCACAAGATGATTGTTAGACACCACATCGCAAGAGGTTCTCCAGTTGCGAACCTTTCCGTTCAGGTAAGTGCCATGAGCAGAGGACTTGTCCATTATGTACACCTTGCCATCATCCTTTTTATTCGTCACATTTCCATGGACAGAACACTCCTCCTCAAACCTTCTTGTAAGCGATGATCGCATGCACCCTTGAGCATGTGGGGTAGCTCAATGTGCAATTAGCATCTGTGTTCGATCGCCCGAGGACGAGGTAGGGCCTGTAGCAAGCAAGGCACTTAGAGAGATCTTGCACAAGGTCTCAGCTCAGACCTTCCATCAAAGCGAATCGTTTTGGGTCCCTCGCTGCCCGGTTCCAAGTTTTAGTGCGAGTTAGGACAACGTGGAGTATTGGTTGCATGCATCACTGTATCTCCAGCTAATCATGATCTATCTTCCACTTTCATCTCTGTCTTTTTTGCCGTTGCTATGGCTTTGACTGTATTTCTTGCTCAATAACCTTCACATTTCAAGTAGCACTGAATTGTCAAGAGGATCCTCTTGACAATTCAGTGCTACTTCGCTCCAAATACAACCTGTCTTTATAAGACGTATTCCTCTCTTCTACCCTCCTTCATTCTGCTCTCACCCAATCATCTCATCATGACCCTATTTCATCGCCTTCAATTTTGACAAGGTGTGCAGGAGGGACAAGGATGGAGACGGGTAGAAGGGAAATCGTAGATGAGGTGAGAATGGCATGCGGAACGAAGAGAAATGCTGAGGATAGAGATCCATTTATCCTAACTTCAGCTCTTACCTCAGCATGTTTGTCATCTGAAACTCGTCGTTCGGCGGCGCTACTGCCCATCCGGGCATGCCACCTGCTGCCATTGGATCCTTTCCTTCTTGATAGCCCTCTTCCCCGCTCCTGCCTCCCGGCAGGCCCGCGCATGTTTGCCGGGGCTCCAAACAACACTGCCGGCAGTGGGCCACTCCACCCACCCCACCCACCCCACCCACCCCACCCCACCCACCCTTTCATTGTAGGTGCCACCACACCCTACCCCACCCCGACATTCTAATAAAAGTACCTTCAGAAAGGGGGTGCAATGGAATATTCCAGAGGATGATGAGATGGACCGGCGTGTGCAAAGGTGAGTTTGCATTTTGTACCGGGGTGACCCGTTCGTTTCGTTTCAACTTGAAAATCAAGATAAACAATTTCAAGAGTATGGTTTTTATTTCAAATTTTACGAAGTGATGAGAAATTTTGAGAGGTGCAAAACGGGACATCAAAAGGGGTGGGGGTAGTGGGTGGAACCCCAAGAGACGCGGCAATGTTCGAGTTTGTGGCGGCAGCACTTCAGGCGATTGGCAGCGACGGCCATGCAGTTCAGTTGGACTCAGCTGACTGCTCTTACTTCTCTTGCGACCACAGTGAGTTTTCTTGACAAAAAGCCTGCAGATATGCATGCATGTCTTTTCCACCCGTTACAAGTATTATGGCATAGAAGTGGAACAGAGGATTTTTGTTTGGGTCTTGTATCGTGTCCCGATGTTTGCAAGAAACCGTGTGACTGATTATTCTGACGTACCTTCAGGCAGCGACTATGTTGGCACCCTCTCGAATGGGGCAGATGACAAGCTGACCACCGACGGAGTGATCTACCCTGCCTACAGCAGTGGAGCCCAGGATGCAGGAAGCAGTCAGCTGACTCTGGTTGATGATGGCAAGACTGCTTTGTATGAGCTCCCGGACAACAGCGCTGACTACGTTGGCACTCCTCCTGAGCCCTTGACTGGAGACGGAGTGATCTACCCTGCCTACGATCCGTCGTACTCGGCAGTGCCCAACGACGTCAACGCTGCTTTGTATGAGCTCCCGGACAACAGCGCTGACTATGTCGGCACTCCTCCTGAGCCCTTGACTGGAGACGGAGTGATCTACCCTGCCTACGATCCGTCGTACTCGGCAGTGCCCAACGACGGCAACACTGCTTTGTATGAGCTCCCGGACAACAGCGCTGACTATGTCGGCACTCCTCCTGAGCCCTTGACTGGAGACGGAGTGATCTACCCTGCCTACGATCCGTCGTACTCGGCAGTGCCCAACGACGGCAACGCTGCTTTGTATGAGCTCCCGGACAACAGTGGAGACTATGTCGGAAGCGATGGTTCCCTTCTTGGGGACGGAGTGATCTACCCTGCCCAGGTAACATCGGTCGCTCTCCTTGCTTCCTTGCTAATAGCATATTCAGGAGAAGGCTATCCCTGTCTCTATGCTCGCAGAATCTGCAAGCCATGATGGTGCCTATTATTGCGCTGACACCTCCGATCTTCCCGCCGACGCTCAATGCGGAACTGAGGTGGTTGATCCGGTACTTGGCCCAATGAACACATTCATCTGGTAATGTTCGTTGTCCCAGGTTCTCAAGCCGATCGAGTACCCTGTGGCTGCTGAATTGGCTGCTCCTGTTGTTACTGCGGTACCTGCCAAAGCCGGATCTCTCGCCAAACCGGCCCGTCCAACTCCAGGCCACTTTGTAATTTACGTCGAATCGAAACTTCTTTGTGGTGACAACAAATCAGGTGCTCATGGCTCCAGCTGCTTTGTTTGGAGCTGCTGAGGCTACCATGAGCAAGCTCTCGGTGAGTTTTCAAGTTGCATCTGCTTACTACCATGGAAGGGTGTAGGTGTTCTCATGCAAAAGTTGCGCAGGACCCTAAGGAAACTCGTGGTTGGACCGAGTTGTTTGCGGAGAAGACCACTGCAGCTGCGAATGCTGTTACACCTGTTGGAGGTTATATCCTAAAGTCTGCTCTAAAGGTCAACACTACTGTTTCTTTCGCGTCGGAGTAACATCGTGTGCAGGCTTAAGTTCCTCGTCAACTCTATGGAACAGTTAAGTGAGGGGGATGGTTAAGCGTGCCTTGAAAAATGTGAAGGTGTGCGTTCCTTTTCTGTCGTAGGATGTTGTGAAACTGTTTCAAACAACGCCCTTCAATTATATACAAACGCATAAACGACAGCGATTGCTCAATCACAGTTTCACATGCTACATCCAAGTGTGCTGTCCCTGCATATGGTTCAAAGTCCATAGGCTGCTGTCAAACAAACCATCCATGTAGCAAGTACAACCGAGTATATGCACAGTCTAACTGTCATCGAATAACCAAGAAGCTTCCAGAACATGGTCATGATTCATAACATGTGCTTGAAAATGAGGAAGCGAGATTCTAGACGTGGCATTTATCTCCTGAACTTTCCAAAAATGTGCAGGAGAATAACGAAGGCAATGAAGAGCAAGGAGACGACAAGAACTGTCGTCGGGCCGCTGTGCAACGTGAAAGTCAATGCGGAGTAAAATAATGTGTGAAAAACAAGTGAATGGCATGGTTGTACTCACATTTTCAATCCCGCTGCGTCATCGGTGTAGTACCTCCAGATGCCTCCACCTCCACCTCCTCCACGATTGCCGCTTCCAGAGTATCTCTTCACAGCACCCCCGGTTCTGAACGTATTTGTCAGGAAGAAAGTTACTTTGGTCAGGTGCCGAAGTGGCATTCGACAGACATATGGAAACAAACAACCTTCCCAACTTAGAATCAAGTAATGGTGCAATAGAGTCACAGAGATTTCATCATGTGAAGAGATGAACAGCAATTGAAATAAACTTGCCGCAGCCATTCACACCTAACTGAGTACCAGTCGCCCCCTCACACCAACCGGCCTCCCTCACACAATCCCATATCCAATGCTCTGGACATAGCAAGATCGGGAGCACGAATGAGAAGATCGTCGTTCAATACCTGTTGCCCTGCTTGGAGGGAGTGTTGCTGCTGTTTCCTCCTCCTCCTCCGCGCTTGCTCACAGCTGTTGATCCCGACCTGCTCTGCATCCTCGGCTTTGCCACGTCCACCCTACCCTACCCACCCCTCCTTTTGAGAATACTACCCCTCGAATTTCCTGAACCCTAGAACATTCGTGCTCTAAGGTTCAAATCGAAATCTTCAACAGGGATCAGAGTGACACTACTTGATTTTTACTTGAGGCTCATAGCTGATATTTCTTCTCTATGGTGCTATCCGTTGAGTACGAAACACCCACCCACCTTTTGATACGGGTTGTCACCCCCCACCTTCAATTTTTTTCATACACCCATCCATTGGAGGCCGCGCGTGCGTCTTTCTTGTTCCGTTACAATGTAACGGCATGATTCAAAGCTCGCCCGCCACTTGAAGTTCCTCCTGATTGTCCTCGTACCGTGCTTTTTAACTTCACTTTGAGTAAAGTGAAGTTCGCATCATTGATATCCGATGCATCATATGCCTTCGCCGCCGCTGTCGGACTCCGAGCCGAGTCTGAGTCGGCGACCCCGGCGGCCCGGTCACCCCGTCCCGTTGCCAGGCCGGGGTGGGCATAGCGATGCGTCACTGAGTGTGGCAGGCCCCGCCGGGCTCCGAGCAGTGACCGGACTCGGGACTGTGACCAACTCCGGCAGCCGCTGGAGTCCGACTCACGGTTATCATTGTGAATATAACCTGCCAGGCGCCCTGGTACTGCGGTAGCCGGACGGTACCGCCGGGCCCGGCCGTGATCACTTACCATATGCTCACTGTGGAGGCTGGGTTTGAAATGGTGCAGCCTCAGTCCCTCAGATCCACCAATTCTGTTCAAAACCGTATCAACAGAGTCTCGTGATGTCAATGCTGCTATGAATATCAGGCTATTGTGCTACATGTCTCTACCAGCACGACCAGATTTTCTGAAACGGCCTTGAATCACACATGGGTCTGGTTATACTTCAACCTGTTCTTCATAGAAAGGATGAAGTACGAGTCAGACACAAGGAAATATTGGCGTGTGGGTCTTCCATGTCGGATCCATAATTTCGACGGAAATTTAGAATTTTGAAATTTTATGTTTTGTGTCGTTTAGCTAATAAGAGGACTCTGTTTGTCCAGAAGCCTCTCCACGTCTACGAAGACGGCGCCATACTCGTTCTTTAACCTTTCAAGCTCTGCTATCAATGCGCTCCTCCTCGGCCCATGCTGAGAGTCGATGGTGCTCTTCAGTCTAGCCCAGGCATCTTCAATGGCATCCTGGTATGGGTGCGTGTAGCTTATCTCAAACGTCGACGTGTTGAAATAATACGTCTTCCCATCGATCTTCCCCGTCTGCGGAACCCAACCAGTCAAAGGATTTTGTTTGATGATTTCTTGTTTACGTTGCATTGCTTTTCTGCGAAAGAGCTCCTCTGACTTCTGACTTTGCAGCTCCATTTCTTTTCGGCACATCATAATCTTTCGCTCAAGTGTGGTGTACTTGGTCAAGAGATCAAGTTCGTCAGTCGCACATTCGCAAGCTACTGTCCATTGTGAGATCAGTTTCTTGTGATTGGCTCCCAATCGTTTGAGGGCTTTGTAGTGTCTCTGCGCAGCACTTGCCCGCATGCCTAGCCATCGTCGATAGCACCTTTGGATGACCAGCGCGGCCTCCGGTAACGACTTGAGGAGCTTTCGAGCAATGCAAGATCGGAAAGCACATTGCAGAGTTCTGACTGCCTCGTACGATCTCGCCTTTTCGAAACTTTCTTCACAACCAAACATTCGAATCCTGTACTTCCAGATGTTGTACTGATCTTCCTGGCTCTTTATCATGTCCATGTGCTCTACCATTCGGATTCTGATCAGCTCTTTCACCTTGGCATGCTGAACATGTATCCTCTCCAGGTATCTTCTTTTTCGGAGCCACCGCCTCACATGGCTTTGAAGTTTGTAGATGGTCTTTTCGAAATTTGTCATGGAATAAATCTGAATTTCTTCCAGGGGCTTTCGAAGTACGATCGACCCCATGCGCAAAGACCGTCTTCCAGTGCTCTTGTCGTTGGAGGGCTGACTCCTGATTTCGCTGTCGGGGTTGAAATCTTCGTGGAGGAGCTCTAGAACTTGAGAGTGCGGGAACGTTGGGGCTTCTCCTTCACTCTCGTACTTGGGATGGCTCGAAACTTCAGCAAGGTATTGATGCCTGTCGATGTACTCCATGTCGTTTGATGGAGACGTGGTCGACGACATAGCTTCCATCTGCTGCAGCTGGTTCAAGTCATCTTCAGAGATCTCGTATTGCAAAGTCCACTTTCCCTCCTGCAACGCGCTCCTTTCTAATGATGGAGAAGGGCTCCTTACCCCAGACTTTAGGCTCTGCCGAAGAGTTTTTCCAAGGAGAGTCGTGGAGTTGACCAACGAGTCCATGTTCTCAACGTCAGAGCCGCAGATTTCACCCCACAGTCTAGAGATGTTTTTCCTTGATTCCAGCAGTGACGACACGGCCAGACGGACCTCCATCGACACGTTGGAACCTTGGTCGTTGGATATCAAGGTTTCCAGTTCATGGGCGACACGGGGCGAATTGCTATAGACCAGCTCGTCTGTCCTTGCCCCTCGTCCACCTCCATGTACTGATCGCTCCTTTCCTGTCCATGGTCTCGACCCTTTCTTCGGGGACATGCTGAGCCGCATGAAGCGTCTGGTATTCTCCCTCCTCACTTCATCCCGCTGCCTGGCTGAAACCGCTCTTCTCTGCCCATCACCATGTGATCGACGTGTCGCAATGACCCTACATATCCTCGTGTGCAGATTCGTCAGTATTTCATCTTCCAGCTTCCTTCTGGACTCTTCTCGCAGTCCGATATCTACTAGATCATGCTCGCCGCTCGGCAAATCATTTGTCATCATCCTCCTCACATCTGAATTTCTTTTTGCGATCATGGTGGTGAGCATCTTCACGACGAAAGCATCGCTGACATCTCCTTGCGACAATGTTGCACTTCTGCTCAGTCTCTCCTGCATGGTCGGTTGTATGTACGACAGTGGTGATGTGTTCATTCTCGGGGTTTGAAAGATGTCTCCTCAACAGTCTTAATCCCCCCAGCGCAGTGAAGGCTTCGCTACATTAAAGTTTGGACTACGTTGCTCATATTGGCAAGCACTTCATGCCAAACTTCTCTTCACCATCAGAACACCATGCTCTGTTTGCGTTCTCTCCACCGCTTCCCTGCGGTTGAAGCATAGAGTAGGGGCTGAAAGGGCCCTCGGTACCCCTACCCCCCCTAACAAAGCATACTACCCCGACATTCATCGACCCATCAAACCCTCTGAGGCGGAGGCGCTGGGATTTCCCCGATAAAGATCATCCCGACATGGCGAAGAGGGGAGGAGAGGGAGGGAGGAGGAGGAGGGTCAAGGGGAGCGGAAAGAGGGAGAGCAAGAGTCAATGAAGAATGCGCACTTTGACAAAGAGAAACAGATACAGGGGAGCACGAAAGATCGAGCGAGCGTGAGATTAGGAGTGAGTGTTTATCTGGAAACAAGTTCTTGTTTCCGATTTTTTCATGGGTAAATGAGGAAAATTGTGGAAAATCGATCATGTTATTCTAAGTTTTAATGTTACATCTCATCGATGTCATGGTTCTTCTCATGGATTTTCCTCCTCCTTCTTTGCACATCCCTTAGAACCCTTGTTTTCTCAATGCCTCCTATTTCTGATCCCATTTCTCGACCATTGTCCTTTCACCGCGTCAAGTCAAGTCTTTGCTGTCAACATCTCAACATGCTGGAAGATGAGAGTGGCTCAAAAACTGACATGTTTCTTGCAGGAATGTCAAACACCCGAACACACACAGTCTTCTAGCCGACCAGCTCTCAGAAGCCATGGAGGCGACGAGAGCTTCGGGGGGGCCTGCAGGGCGGAAAAAGCACGAGGACTTCAGTCCTGTTTGGGTCTTGATCTTCCCTTTCGCAGATCAGGTGAAGAACAAGAAAGCCGATGAGCTGAAACTGCGCACAGACATAGTCCACAGACTGAAAGCTGCAAAACTCCGGGTCTTGTCAGTGTGCAATGCCAGCCACTCGGCCGTACACGTGATGGTGGCTGCAGACCTGGAGCGTCTGGAGCAGGAGGCAGAGAAGTCGGGACTCTTGAAGAAGGTTCGCTGCGATGCCGGGCTGGCGCGCTACTCGCAGAAGAAGCGACACCTCTTCGGTCATCGGGTGCTCGACAACGATTTCTTCACAGAGGCGGAGAAGCAGGAGCTGGTGTATCGCATCATGATATCCAACAACAACTTCTGTGGGGCAGGGCTGATCTTCGACCTCCTGGAGGGAAGGTTCGCTGCTAGCGGGCTGGAGGCATGCTCGGTACCGCGGCTGCGGAGCCTAGTGGAGAACGTGAAAGGGAGAGACGCGGCGATTCTTCTGTCGCACAAGGCGGTGAAGGAGGACTACATCCAAGAGCTGCAATCGAGCCTGACGCCAGGGAGGAGGTTCCTTCAGTCCTCTCCTCTTCATAGGGAGGTGGTGCAGGAGAAGCTGGCCATGGCGCTGTGCTCCTTACAGCTCAGATTGAAGACGAGCTTGTTGTGTGGAGAAAATGACTCAATCCTGGATGTCATACACAAGAGTCAAGGAAACACGCGAGCTGTGCTTGAGGTAATGGATCCTCCTCCTCCTCCTCCTCCTCCTCCTCCTCCTCCTCCTCCTCCTTCTCCTCCTCCTCCTTCTCCTCCTCCTCCTTCTCCTCCTCCTCCTTCTCCTCCTCCTCCTTCTCTTCCTCCTCCTTACTTCGTCAAACCTCCTCACCAATCCTCCTTTCCCCACCTCTGATGTCATATCCCCCCCCTCATCCCCTCTCTAGACTCTACGTACACCTCAATCCACATCTCCCTTGGCTCGAATTCTTTCATCCTGCCTCCTACCATCTTTCCTCTCCCCACACTCACCCTTCTCACTCGTTCCTCCTTCCCTCCTCAACTTTTCTTCAGGCTATCGAGAGTGTCGACTTGGTGGAGGCGATACGAGACTACTTGGGCGAGGTCTGAACGAATCTTGACCACCCTGCAGCTCCTCTGTGATAGTTGTCTCTACCTTTCCTGATGCTCTCCTCAGGGATTCGCACTCTACTTCCTCTCCATCAAGAGCCTGGTGATCGACGTGGCCCCACTCGCGCTCCTCTCGCTGGTGCTCTTCTCCATCAGGAACTCCCCGTCCTCCTTTGGGCTCGAAGCCGCCATCACGGGGCTGATGTGCATGATCTGGATGCAGAGGTTCGCATGCCTGTGGAGGAGGGAGACTTCGCACAAGCAGCACGTGTGGGGGAGGAGCGAGGAGACGGAAGAGCTCAGTGCCATCTCCCTCCGCTCAGCGATCGCTACCGACGAAGACGACGAAAAGACGTTCATGCTCACTGCCGAGAACTTTCAGAGTCGCATCGTTACGCGCCGCATCCGTGCGGCCATGCAGCTGCTGGTGATCGGAAGCATGGCGCTCGTGTGCATCGGCATCTACCTGCTCGTGCGGTTCTCGCGCGGGTGGATGTTCGGGGACAAAACCAGCCCCTTGCAGGTTGTCAGCATCGCATGCATCGACGTTGCGAGGATCTACGTGCTGGAGGTGAGCGAAGATTTCGAGGAGGATGATGATGAAGATGATGATGATGATGATGATGATGATGATGATGATGATGATGACGACGACGACCATGAAAATGAAGATGAAATGAAGATGAAATGAAGAAGAAGAAGAAGAAGAAGAAGAGAGGAGGAGGAGGAGGAAAAAGATGATGATGATTTGAATCTTATGAACGATGATGATGAGTTAACGACAAAGACACTGAGCAACTTGTGCAGTTCATAGGATATTACATCTTGGAATATCTTGAGACGTGGGATGACGATATGATCAACGAGAGCGACAAACAAGCATGGAAAGTCGCAAAGGTCTGTCCTTTCAAGTTGTGTTTGCAGGTTGGTGCACTGACATGCTATGAAGATCTTCGTTTTTGCTTTGATGAACACTTTCAGCTCAGTCTTCATCTCTGTAGTGTATCAGGTGAACCAAAATTGTTGTACCATGATGAACACAATCAATCTTGAGAAACTGTTTACACTCACCAACGAATTCTCATCAAACACATGTCACAAAATCTCAACGGCGGCTCTTTGACAAATTTCTCCCCAACGCAGGCCTTTGCGACAGGAACCAACTGGAAGTTTGTTGAGCCTCCTGTTTGCTTCGATCTTTACTGCCAGAGAGACATCGAGCTCCACATTTTGATCATCGTATCAATCACCATCTTCTCCCGTCGTCGGGCTGATTGTTATGGGAGGTCGCGATCAAGTACATCGGAGTTCCTGTCCTTGTTCATCTATACCACTGGTCTCAGTATCTCCTGCTCAAGGTAACTCCTCGATCAAATGTTGACTATCCTTTCGTGGTTGTTGGATCAGTGAAAGATCTCTTGTGTGCGATCAGTTGTCTTCTCCTCTGAGTCTATAGCTTCTCTGCCTACCTGCCTCTTTTTGGTCTGTGACCTGCTGCGCTTGTTTGCGTCTGCTGTTGCTCAGCATTCATTGCACGAGTGTTCAAACTTTATCCTTGCGCTGACTCTGCTTCTTCCCTCCCTCCTTGTTGCCTTCATCACTTCCTTCTCGTTTCCTGCGCCTTCCCTTCCCGCCTCTTGTTGTCGCTCCCCTTGCCGTTGTCTTCCTGACCTGTGGAGCAGATGAGGATCGCGAAGAAGAGAGAGCTCTACTTGGAGCGGAAGCACGCGGGCAAGGGGCGTGTAGACGCGACGAAGAAGCGGTCGTCAAAAAGGAAGAAGTTGCTCGGGCTGATGGACCGCATCACTTTGCGAGGAGACTGGGATGGTAGGACGAGGAGGAAGAAAAGGCGCGGGGAGTGGGGGAGGAGCGATGAACGCAGGAAGAGGAGGAGGTGGTGGTGGTCGAGTAGAAAACAGGGGATGATTACCAGGAGCAGGAAGGGGATTTGGAAAGAAGATACTTGTATGGTTGAGGAGGAGCAGGAGCAGGAGCAGGAGATGGTGGTGGTGGTGGTGGAGGAGGAGGAGGAGGAGGAGGAGGAGGAGAAGGAGGAGGAGCAGGAGCAGGAGGAGGAGGAGGAGGAGCAGGAGGAGGACGTCCTTTAAGGAGTTTCAGAGTAGGAAGATGAAGGGGTGAAGCAGAGCAGAAGCCTCACTGACTGCTCCTCTGACGTGTGTCTGCTGCAGGAGTCTGGGGTGAATCACCGCTGGGTAGGCCTCCAGCTGGGATCGAAGCTTCCAACTGACCTCGCTGCTGCACAGACTCCCAACTTTCCCTCAGGGTCTACGACCAGGACCTCTGGGAGCAGACGACTCAGCGAGACTTTGCAAGTGATCAAGGCTGCCGCGTCCTGTGCTCAACTTACACCTCCCCCCCTCCAGTCCTGATGTCGTTCCTCGCTCTCTGTACGACTCTGGCGCCCCTCCTGCCCTTCATTATCATGTGCTTCTGGTTGCTCAAGGTGAGGAGGACAGAGCTGTGAGGCGAACAGTCGGTGATTTGTGCCCCTTGCGTCCTCTCAGGGTCGACTTGAGGCACTCGAGCTTGTTGTGCTCACAAGGAAGGCAGTTGTGCATCACGGCAGTAAGACCTCACCTGTTCTCCCACTGATCCTCCTGCTCCTGCTCTTCTGCTCCTGCTCTTCTGCTCCTGCTCTTCTGCTCCTGCTCCACCTCCTCCTCCTCCTCCTCGTTCTCCTCCTCGTTCTCCTCCTCGTTCTCCTACTACTCCTGCTCCTGCTCCTGCTCCTGCTCCTCCTCTAATCCCCTTTCCCCCAGCTCCCCCAGCTCCTGCTCCTGCTCCTGCTCCTGCTCCTGCTCCTGCTCCTGCTCCTGCTCCTGCTCCTGCTCCTGCTCCTGCTCCTGCTCCTGCTCCTGCTCCTGCTCCTGCTCCTGCTCCTGCTCCTGCTCCTGCTCGTGCGCATCTTTCTTGTTTGTTCCTCAACTCTATTTTTCCATCACAGAGTGTGTCGAGTACTGGAATGAGGTCTTGAACTGGATTGCGCTCCTTTCTATCTTCTCGACTTCGATCTGCATCATGTATGACATCAAAAGATATCACCATCATCTCAAAATGAATTGTCATCATCCAGGTTCGTGACAGCAGATGTCGAACAATTCATCCAGAACCTTGCTACGAATTACCGCAAGGTGCGTCATATCTCAGTTTCATCTCGTTTATTCTCAGCTCTTTTCTCTATTTCTCTCAGTCCTCTGCTGATTGTCTGCTGATTGTCTGCTGCAGTTCTTGGAGATTTCCCCAGCCTTCAGGAACTCTCAAGAGCTCACGTATCGTTGCAATCCAACTCCAGCTCCTTGCCCTGCTGCTTTACTCGCCAGCCTGGCCCACAATGCTTGTCTTGTCCTGTCCTGCCCTGCCCTGCCATACCCTGCCCTGCCCTTCTCTGCCCTGCCCTGCCCTTCCCTGTCCTGTCCTGTCCTGTCCTGTCCTGTCCTGTCCTGTCCTGTCTTGCCTTGTCTCGACTTGTCTGGTCTTGTTCAACTTTCCTCTCCTCCTACCTCCCTGTCTTCCTTCTCTCACCCCCCTGCCCAGATGCGTCGCTGGCATCTGCCTCAACTCGGAGCAGTACAAGGCGCAAGGAGCGCTCTACTGGATCATCTGGATTTGCATTATCGCCATCGGCGTCGGCTCGAGGATTCTGCACGAGGAAGGAGACTCGTCGACCCTGCCGGCTCCTGACGCTCTTTACCTGCAGATCCTCTTTCGAGTGCCTTCGCACTGGTTGCAGTGCCGCGTTGAGGTGAGGGAGAGGAGGAGGAGAGAGAACTTCTTATGCTCTCACATGCAGCTGGAGAAGAGAATACAGAACAACCTCGGGTTGAGCAGCAACGTGTACAAGAACGACGAGGAGGTGGGGGAAAGGAAGGGCAGGAGAGAGGAGGGAGATGGAGTAGAAGAGTGAGAAGCAGGGGGAGGATGGGGGAGGAGGAGGAGGAGGAGGAGGAGGAGGAGGATCCATGATGATGATTGTTTATGGTTGCAGGCACAACAGGTATTTGAAGAATTCAAACTAAGATACAGCAAGATTGCCGTCGACTTGAACAAGTTCGAGCTGCCGCCGCAGTAGTATCTTGCGATAAACGGATCCCCCTCTACTTCTCCTCCTCCTATTCCTCCTTTGCCCTCTACTCCTCCCCCCCCCCCCTTCCCTGCTGTCTCCTCAAGCTTCCTCGTTCCGAGCGAACCCGTCTGAGATCAGCCTCACAGCCCTGTCCTGGCAACCGCAGAGGATGTAGCCATCGGCGCTCCTGCTGCCCCTCTCGCACGCGTTCGTCTTGATCAGGTGGAGGGACTTCACCTCAGATCCTATCACGATCGTCTTTGCGCTCTCCCTCCTCTCCGGCTTGTCTACGGCAGCTGCGAGTTGGCTGCCTCCCTCGCCCTTGTTGCAAGCGAACGCCTGCGTGAAGTTCCACATGCTGCAGCCCCGTCAGCGCTAGAGCAAGCAATACCCCTCCTTCTTACCGCACACTCCCGTCCATGGACCCGGTCACCAGCCACGAGCCGTAGGCAGTGAGAGCTGCGCGCCCATGTGTCACGTAAGGAGGAGAAGGAGAACAGGCGAGCAAAGAAACTTTGAAGGCCAAAACAGGAGGTGAACACGAGGTTTTGAAGACTTTGGAAGGCAGACGAAGAGAAGAACAGAATGACAGAACGAGGGGAGGGGCAAGGTGGCAGGAGAAGCAGCACGTGATGGAGCAGGTGGAGTAGGAGCAGAAGGAGATGATGATGATAATGATGATGATGATGATGATGATGGAGGAGGAGAAGGGGCAGGGATTGCACCCGAAACAGCGTCATCATGGCACTGGAGGTTTGCGACGCAGGTCAAAGTCTCTGAGCACCAGACTCGGATTGCTCCACTCTTGTGACCGCTAAAGATCCTGCAGGAAGCAGCTGTGAGGGAGGAGAGGAACACGGATGGGAGACCTGAGGAGAGGAATGGAGAGGAGCAGCAGGAAAGGACAAAGGACGAGGAGGAAACGATGGGCAGGAAACAGGAGGGACGAGGACACACAAAGGAACGAAGGAGATGAAAGGATGGTCTTGGCGGAGGGAAGGCGAGGAAGAGCGGCAGGGAGGAAGAGGAGGAGGAGGTGGAGGAGGAGGAGGATTTCGATACCTCTCCTCAGGTCTGAAGATCCAAGAAGATCCACCCGTGGTCGCTCGTGGACCAGACCCGACGGCGACGCAAGTGACAGGATCGGAACCGGAGAAGAAAACAAGAGGAAGCGATTCTTTCCTCTCCTCCTCCTCCTTCTCCTCCTCCTTCCGTGGCTCATCTAACACCAAGTGCCAGGCTGACTCTAGCCCAGCGGCGACGATGGCGCGGGAGAGAGAGCAGATGGAGAGGACGGGGCCGTGCTGGCTGCTGATGACTCGCTTGCAGGAGAAGGACGAGAGGTCCCACTGTCTGACTGTGCGGTCCCAAGACCCACTGAAGAGATCGACCTCGTTCCTGGTGAGGCACATGACGGCATCTTTATGCCCCTGCCGACTTGTGAGCGAGGGAGAGAACGAGAGGGGGGGAAGGGAGAGTGGGGAGAAGGTGAAGATGAATGCGGAGGCTGAGGCAGCGACAGAGGCGGAGGAAGAGAGCTGTGAGGCAGAAGGAGGGACGGAGGAGCTGTGCATGGGGAGGAAAGTGGAAAGAAGAGGACAAGGGAGGAGGAGGACAAGAGAAGAGGAGGGGGGTGCGGGCGGGGGAGGGGGAGGTAACTACCTCCAGCTCCTTGACGTGTCTCCTGGTGAGCAGGTTCCACACATTGAGCGGAGCGATTCCCAGCTTCATCTGCCCTGCCGTCACCAGCACGTCTCCGTGCTGCAGCATCGCATACACCGCCCCCAGCTGCCGCTGAGACTCTCGGGGGTGGGGGGTGAAGTGAAGGGACCCCTCCATCTTCCCTGACGTGAGGTTGACGAGCTTGATGCTGCCGTCGTGAGACGCACTGACTATCATGCCCTCATGGAAGGCGAGCGCCGCTACTGCCCCAGCATGATGCTTCATCTCCCTTGTTACCCGGAGCCGCCGGATCACGTCGTAGCCTGCCCATCGTCAAGGTCATGGTTGTGGAGGAGAAAAGCGAAATAGTCATTTTGCCATCATCATCAAAATCATCATCATCTTCTTCTCCATCATCATCAAAAACATCATCATCAAAAACATCATCATCATCATCATCATCATCATCAGCAGCAGCAGCAGCAGCAGCAGCAGCAGCAGCATGAACAAAAAAACAAACAATGGCAACAAAAACATCATCGTCATCACCATCGACCTACGCATCATCCTGTAAACACTTCGAACTCACCGGGTCCACTTCCACCTCTGTGAGACCTGTAGCTGTTTGGAAACTTAGACAAATCTCCAACAAACTGTGCCAGCAGCGAGCAGGATTCACTGGATGCACACTTCAGCATCAGGTCCTGTCCACAGATGTCACGTGTCAGTGCAAACACATACACCTGCCTGACATCACCTCGACAAACTGATGGTGGATGAGATTCCATCGGATAGAAGAGATCATCTTAGAGCTGAATTGTCGCCGAGAGCGATCACAGTCCAGTTCCATCTCTTCGTTCATCCCGTGCCCCTGGTTGTCGCTGTCCGCACTCACTCCATCCTCTTCAGCTCTGCCCAACTCAAGTTAGCAGGAAGAATCTGATTTTTCCTCTCCCTCCCTCCCTCCTCCCTCTCTCTCCCTCCCTCTTTCCGTCCTCCTTCTCCCTCCCAATCTCTCCCTCCTCCTTCTCCCTCTCATTCTTCTCTCCCCCTCCCTCCGCCTTCTCCCCCCCTCTTCTCCTCCCTGCCTTTTCTCTGACCTTGCATTGGAGCACGATGTTTCTCCTTTTTCTGCCTCATGATCTTGGTGGCATCCTTCGAGCCAGCGGAGGATGGACAAGACGATATCCTGTGAATGATGACAGGTTACAAGAAGGGAGGAGGAGGAGGAAGGGCGGTGAGACAAGGATGGTGGAAGGAGGAAGGAGACTGGCGGAAGGAGGGAGAGGCTGAGAGGAATGAAGGAAGCGGAAGGAGGGAGGACAAACATGCCTCCTCTTTGTGCACTCTCAGGCGATCATCGTCCACGAGATCCTCAAGAATGTCCTGCACAAGTTCTCTGCTTCACCACGGCGGCCAAGAGGGGAGGAGACAAGAACCTGGTGAAGGGAAGCAAACCAAGGGGAATGCGACACCTCTTCATAGTGGTCAAGAGCAAACTGGAAGCAAAGTTCCTCCAGCTCGGGCAGCCCTGAGTCCCTGCTGGAGGTGTCAAGTTGCCCTCCCTCCCTCCCTCCCTCCCTCCCTCCCTCCCTCCCTCCCTCCCTCCCTCCCTCCCTCCCACTTGTCTCCTGCCCTCCCACCCTCCCTCATTCATCCACTCTCCTCCATTTCTCCTCCCATCTCAACCTGCTCGCGTTCAAGAACGCCACGCACGTATCAACATCCAGCATCTTGCTCGATTCTCGGATCACTGTCTCCCTGCTCCCCACATTTCAGCAACGGTGAGGCAGAGGCCACAAGGCTGAGAGAACGAAGACCTGAGACTCGTCACGTCAAGCCGATCTGCAAGCCTCCCGATAGCCACCAGCTCCTTTGTCCAAAGTCATCGTCGTCATCGTCATCGTCGTCGTAATCATCATCGTAGCAGCAGCAGCAGCAGCAGCAGCGGCAGCAGCAGGTACCTCAACATCGTTGTGAATACGTGCTGATCCCGTGTAAACGAAGTCCACAAACGCCTCGAGCACGTTGCTATCGACCTGAGGAGCAACGAGGGTTAGAAAAAGTTACAGGACAGAGTGAGATGGGAAAGAAAGAAGTGTGCATGAGGGGGGAATGGAAAGCGCCTGCAGACTAAGGAATGAAGCGAGATAATAGTGTAGAGGTCAGAGGAGGACAGAGAAGGGGGAGGGAAGAAGTGGGAACTGGGGGGAAGGAGGAGGAAGAGCAGGAACAGGAATGGAGGTGATGAGTCGGGAATGGGGGAAAGGGGGAGGAAGAAGAGGAAGATGAAATGAGAGTATTTCAGGTAATCATTCTGACTCCTGCTCCAAGGCAGCAGCTCAACTACTAACCTCTTCCAGCTGCAGCTCAATCACCCTCCGGTTAGCTTTACACCTGTCAAGGCACACGGGCAAGTCAGCGGAGAACTCTATCTGCAATGGGTCTGTTTGCAATGGGGATGGGGCGGTTGTCCAACCTTGCTTGCTCCCATGAAATCATCCTAGAACAGAACATGTCAGCCTCCATGACAAACATGATTCCGAAAGACATATGGAACATGGCACATCAAAGCATGCCGCAGGGAACTAGGGCACACCTTCGCAGGACTGGAGACACGAGCGCCATGATGACTGAGTGCGCTCTCTTAGCAGTCATTTGATCGCATCCTTTCCTGATAATACATCATCAATCAAACTTCTTGCATGCCAAGATCTGGCATCACTTCTTCGACAAAATCTCGAGGTCAAGCAGTTCCCCATTGCCGTATATTTCCTGTAAACCGTAATGAGACAGTGTATGGCAGGAGAAGAGTTTGATGGACAAATATGCATTGCCTGCAAAGTTTCGATCGGTAGTGCATAGCACGGCTTGACAACAGACTCGATCACGAACTGACAAGGAAAGTTGTCACATTGTTGCAGCTCGGACAACAGTAAATACCTCTTTCATCGTCGATACTCGTCAAACTGATCTACTTTCCCGCACCACCTTGCATCCAATCTGGGCAGGAAATCCATCAGGACAGGTCATCAGTATACTGACCGTCTCAAGTGCACATTCATGAGGACCCTCCCAACCCCAAGAATTGACTGGCACATAATCCGGGTATCATCGACCCTCCTGTGCTCGACAAACCATGCAGATCAACCGGAACCCTATCATCGCTGTCACCGTATCCTGTTCTAGCATTCCTATCCTCCCTGCCTCTCCCCAACTCCACTTCCCAACCTCCCTGTTGCCATACTCGCACACATGGGGGAACATGGTAAAAGCGATAATGTAATTTCTAGAATATTTTTAGGCCGTAATTATTCATTTTAGGGCGCACTCGTCCTTGAGTCTCTGAAAAGCTATGTTTTCAGTTTAGAATATTGCCCCCTTTCTACACCCCCACCCCTCCCTTGCACCCCAATCTGTATGACCCCCTTATGTGTAAAACAGGAAATGTTTTAAAACTAAAAATGTTAATACCCCACCCACAGTTTTCTTGAAGACAATAGGCAACAAGGATCCAACAGTCCCACCCCTACCCCTAGTTTATGACAACCAAGAAAAACGGCTTCGAATATTATTGAAATCTTGTCTTATAATTTCAAATTTAGATTATGAATTTGTATATTGTTTTACATTCCTATATATTTATTACATAATATTATTAATATTCCCTTGTTGCGGTGGGACGCAAAATTGAGGAAACAGGAAAAAATACGGGAAGGGAGTGTAAATAAAGCAGGAGGAGCAGGAGCAGGAGCAGGAGCAGGAGCAGGAGCAGGAGCAGGAGCAGGAGCAGGAGCAGGAGCAGGAGCAGGAGCAGGAGCAGGAGCAGGAGCAGGAGCAGGAGCAGGAGCAGGAGCAGGAGCAGGAGCAGGAGGAGGAGCAATGAAGGAAGAGACGCAGCAAGATCAAGGGAAGGAAGAGCAGACGAAGGAACAACAAAGACAGACGATGTGCATAAAAGGAGCACTATGAAGCTGGAAGAGAAGAATGAGCTCGGGATGACTGTAGGGACTGTAAGGAGGGATGCATGCAAGCAGAAGTAGAGACAGTAGAGAGACGACCAGAACGAGGCGCTGAGAACCGTTGCTGGAGTACACAAGTGGGTGCAGGGGCTAGATAAGAGGGAGAAGGGGAAGGGGAAGGAGGTTATGTCAAATGCAGAAGACAGGGACTGGAGACAAGAGGACCTGGTAGACAGGATGTATCTCATGGATAGCTAGTGCAGATATGATTAGGTTTGACGTGGAGAACCGAAACAATCATGAGATTTTACTGGAGTCTTCAGCCTATCTTTGAGGCCTTGCCATCCTGTTGACATCCATGGAATGCCTTGAGCTGATGTGTCAAGAAAATGGCCAGGGTGAATCGAGAGTCGAGTGAGCGTAGTGACTGTAGTGGAGATGAGTTTTGCTTCTTCTCTCGAAGTATTCTTGTTTGTGACTCTCTTGAAGAGTTGATGTGATCTTACCCCACCACTCAGTTGCTGCTCACCAACTCCTCTTGCTGCTGGTTCCAGCTGGATGCTGTGCTGTCTCGTAAGTGCTCATTCCCATGGACGCAGAGCTTGCTTGAGTTCATTTCTATTCATTCGGTTGCGCACAAAGTTTAGAATACAAAGAGTTTGATGAATTTCGCGTCTCATCTCTTGTCAGAGACCGTTGGGCTGTAGCTGGAGGCAGCATAATGGTTAGTCATCCACTCTCGGATCTTAGAGTCGCTCTCGAGCCTTTCCTGGTGGTCGGTCAGAGCATGAAAGTTCTTGTAGACATTCGTCGGGATCCCGTCCAGCAGGCCACTCGTGATCCAGCCCAGCAGTCTCCAGACCGCGATGTCCGCTACTGTGATTTTGTCCCCCACGAAGAAGCCGTTGCTCTTGTTGGCCTTGAGCTGCAGCTCCAGGTAGGAGAACCACTTGGGCAGCGTCGCCTCCCTCAGGATAGACCGCATCTCCATCTTCTTCTCCCGGTCTTCCTCGCGCATGCTGACGCTGATCACGTTGGTGAGCTCCGAGCAAGCCTCGATGATCATGTCGACCTGCGCAGCCTCGCTCTTGCTCTCGGGCGTCAGCCCAGCGACGTCAGCGCAATACCTCGCCATGGCTCCGGTGTACGCTATCCTCCTGCCGTCCACCTCCATGAAGGGAAACTGGCCGAAGGGGGCGATGGGGCCGGCGGTAGCAAGGAGCTCACGGTATGACAGCCTGATGTCTTCGAAGGGGACGTCGCCGAGGAAGAGAGCCAGGCGGCAGACCTCTGCCCGCCAGAAGGGCATGTCGGTGTAGAAGAACTTGATCCTGCTCCAGCGTGACTAGAATGTAGATGATGATGCATGGAAAATGGTGCGATCAGCAATGAAATGAGATGAACGAGTATATTTTTGGGGGTAGTTATGTGCACAGCCATGTCGAGATCGAAATGTTCATGGAACATCTGGATACTAGAGAACCAACTATGTATGAAACACTTTCTCTCAAGGCCATCCTCCCATCATCAAGCATGAACATGACATGTATCATCTCCTCTGCTCGTCTTGTTTCTGGCGACATTCTAGTCGCGCCCCACCACTCCTTCACTGCACACCATCGTCGGGGCACAGGCACTACATCCTCATCCTGTTCCTCCTTTCGTCACTCTCTTCTCCCCCTCCTCCTCTCTCCATCCAAGCTTCGCTCCCCCTCCCCTTCCCCCCTACGGGGACCTACCTGGGCATGTCGGTGGAGCTACCGGCTGAAAGAGAAGGGCACAAAAAAAATCCTCTGCAGTCCTGGATGAGTTGAGAGGGGGGAAGGTGGGGGCGGTGAGTGGAAGGAGAGTGGGAGATTGAGGATGCTGGGGTAGAGGAAGGCGAGAAAAGACAGACAGAGAAGGGGGGAGGAGTACGAGGAGTACGAGGAACTGAAGACGACAGGATGACTTGTTGTATGTGCTACTGTAACGACAACTGTAAAGAATAGAGAGATGTAAAGAAGGCTCTCCAAGTGCTGGCAAGGTTGTTGTGTGTCAAACATTAACAGGAGGAGTTCGTGATTGTATCCGAGAGGAGGAGTGCTCGCGCACAAAGTTCACCTCAGTCCACCAGACAGCCAGCGTTTCCTCTACATCCTCCCACTCACTAGCGAGGGATCCTCCCAGTCTGTCCTCCTGCTCTCGGAGTTTCTCCCGCGCCACATTGCGGCACCTCCCTGCCCGAAAACTCTCGAGGGAGCAGAAGACGAACAGTTTGAACCGAACAAGAGGCATCCTGAAGCGCTCTATCGCCTCCTCAAGTAGCATTGCGCGCATTTCGCTCACGGCATAGCAGGCAGGAACTTGGAGCAAGAAGGGGTCTCCATCGACCTGACGCGAGTACACTAGCTCAACCAGCCCTTCCTCGCTTCTCCTAGCTCCCCATGTCTGCACGTCCTCCTTCAGCCAGACCTCTTCTGCCCCTCCCTCCTCCCCGAACGTGAGGAAACAAACGGTCCTGTCCTCAGCTCGTGGGTGCACGAACAGGAACGTGATCCAGACCGGAGGCCCTGGGAACGTCTTGTCCCACATAGCTGACTTGTTGAGAGTGACCAGGTGGCACCATCGCGACCCGTAGCACTCGTTGATAGGAGGCAGCACGAACGTCGTCGACCATCGACCCTCGCAGCTGGCAAGGAAGAGAGATTCGTGCCCCTCGATCAGGCAGTCTGACCTGCCTGCTCCGTCGCACAACATCTCGATCTTGGTCGGAATCAAGCTGAATTGAGTGATGAGGCAGAGTTGCACCGATCGCACCTGAGAGCAGACGGGGAATCTTAGAAGCTCTCGAGCCTCCTGGTCAGAGAGCAAGAGGAGGTCCCCGTGCGGTGACTTGACACATTCAGAGGCAGAAGAGTCCTGTTGCCCCCTCAAGTACACGTGGTGGATGTACGAGTTGTCTGTGCTGCCATTGCCGACGACCGGCACCACGATATACCGATTCATCTGCGACCATATGGACGAGGAAGATTGGTACTCAGCACAATGAGACACGATCGGTCTGTGAAGACGAAGAAATGGCTTTCCGCCCTGCCTACTCGCCTCCAGGACATTCCGCGCAACATCTGAACCCCAGTACTCATCCTAGAGGGAGCAAGTGCGTCAGGAAGGAGAAGGATGATGTTACAGGGATGAACAGAGACGGACAGGGGAGGTTCGAACCTGATAGAAGGCAGGAGTGTTGAGAACATACGCCTCGAGGTGGCCTCTTTCGATGAGCATGGGAAGCATGTTGTCGATCGCTCCAAAGATAGGCCTGCAGAGCCTGAGGACGTTGCGAGCGCCTTGCTCTGTGAAGATGATCGCTCCCGAGCAGTACGGTCTGTGAGCACGAGAGATGTGCTGAAATTTCGAGGACTTGCTGCAGAGTTTGCTGCAGTTTTCGAAACAATATTCGAGAAACAGCATGTCAGCCGATGGCGGTAGCTCCTGCAGCGCTCCTGCTATCCTTGACTTGATCCTCCCTGGCTCGTCCTGCAGCATCAGGTCGTCTTCGAAGATGCCGACAAGCTTCCTGCCTGCTCTCAGCGCCTCCTCTAGGGTCTTGAGATGGTCCATGGCACGAGCGATGTAGGAGGGAAGAGCCTTCTCCTTGATCCAATCCATTTGCATCATGAGCCTGACCCCTTCTGACGACACCCATCCTTGTTCTATGAGGTCTTTGAGCGAGATGTCTTGGACGAGAGTGACATTGGGAAAGCAGATCGAAGAGAAGCCGACAGTCTCCAGAAGCTTTGCGGTATGGCGTTTCTTGTCCCCGCGCCAAGGGAGGTTCACAACAAAGATTTGAATGTCTGAGAAGGGAGAGGAATCCCCGGCAAGAGAAGAAAAATCTCCACGATTGAAACGGCATGCGGTCATGATTGCTTGTCCGATGATGTCAAACACGTCTGCAGAATGTATCTCAGATTTACATTGCGTATCGTTATAACAGCTCCCGTCCCGCGCGCACGAGCAGAAAATGTTGGAGCAAAACAGTTCAACTCTGGGGGTAAGCGAAACTCGAATGTCTCGACGTAAACCGAAGCACACTTTGAAGCTTTTCGTCTGATGATGGTTAAAAACTTGCTGCTGCATGTTGGAAAATGCTAGTGCTGTTGAATTTAGAGTGAAAGAGAAGTTGTGACAACCTGGTGGTACCTTCAGCTCATGCTTCAAGCGGACGTGCTGGGGATAGAGCATCTGCCGAGAAGAAATTCCTCCATCTTCTAACTTGTCCGACTCACGATGTACCACCATGTCGCCGACTAAAATCTCCACAGCATAAATCCGCAGAAACCTCGAGGTCGTATCCGTGTGAACAGTGAACTCCGTTTGGAATTCCGCCTCCTGCCCCTTCATGGCATGATCGGCCTCTGGTCTGGGTTTTACGATGACAACATGCGGGATTCTGAGAACAAGAAGATCATGAGATTGCGCTCCTAGATAGAGACTGGGCGACACCGCACTGCTGAAGAATGAAACATTCACCTTGTACCTCCCCTCCACTACTCGGTTGAGGTCAACCATACAAGACAACGAGCCGATACCGTGAGTTTCCTGGCAATGAGAATCAATAGGCAAGGGTTCGCTCGGCCCAAGGCTGCATCGCGCAGCGGAAGGACTCATGGCGTCCTGCAATGAAACCCTGAAGCTCCAAAGGTGCTTCTGTGTCCTGAAGCTTCCGTGAAGATGAAGCTGAAACTGTAGAACCAGCGTTCCCTCGTTCCAACAAGCCTCATCACAGCTGAGGACTGAGGAAGGAAAGATGACCTCGAAGGGCTCCGAGCCTCCCAGAGGCGCCTGGTGCGCCAACAGAAGCAGCACAAGGCACCAGCCCGGCATGGTGCCTCATGTCAGCGCATAATCGGGTCGCGCTCGAAAACTCATTGACGCAATTTTGTATCGTAAGCGCGATTCTGCTACTGAGGCCCAGCCTGTCCGGCCGCCGGCCCGGACTCCGGGACTCACGGCCCGGTGTTTGACAAGTTGAACGGTGGCAAGTTTGTCACAGTTCCAAGTCAAGTTGAGTTTCGTGTTCGAGGATGAGCCTTCACTGAACTTCGAAGTCTGAAGAGCCGCTGGCCCAGCCCGCGACCGGGGGGCCGCCGGCCCGGCGCCCAACCTGATGGCACTCAGCCGCAAGGCCGGCCGCCGGCGGCCCGGCCACTGAAAGGGCCATGCAGTGCCGCGCCGCCGTCCCGCCGGGCGGTGTTGAACCCTCACAGTTTACTCAAAGGTAAGTTAATAAGCAGTTTACTCACCGCCATAAAAAGCCTGACTCAGTGAGTCACACCCGGGTTCCCGGGCCCAGCCTTCAAGTCAGTGACTTCAGCCTGCCGCCGGACTCGCCAGGCCCGGGCCCGGCGGCTCACTGCCGCCGCATTGCGGCACGGCCGGTCGAACGAAAGAATTTAGTCATTTGGCATCGGAACTTGCCGATCAAAGCCTGCAACAGTCACGGGCCGAAGTTTTACCTCGAGTCAGCACAAGCACAAGATCAAGGTGATTATAAACGCGGAATACCTGACCGTTGGACCCCCTACCCTTGTCGACCAGACATTCCGAATGAGTACCCCTTCCCAGGGATACCAGAGACCTCTGTGCGGGGGGTCACTCAACCCCATCTATTCCCCACTACCACCCATACCATTGTAAGGGGTCCAGATGGAACTTCTCCCCTCGCAAGCGATCTCCGGGGCGCGGGACTTACGTCCCTATAGCCAGGCGCTCAACCTCAAGATTGACTGGACCCCTACCAGTCGATTCCAAGTAAAAACCACCGGTTAGTTAAACCTGTTGAAATCTTGAGGTGTCCCTTGGTTTTACTCCTGCAGGGGCTCCGGTATCTCTTGCAATCTCAAGCTGTTGTTCGTCAGCGGTCCTCACTTACGACCCTCGTGCCCCTCTTTCTCCAGAACCCTGCTTCCCCGCACCGAGCGGCATCCCCATCACAACTGCATCGCCTCCATAGCCCTCATCCTGAACGGTCTCAGCACTTCGTGTCATTCTGCTTCTCAACCTCCGTATTCGCATCAAGTGAGTTCACCCTGCTAAAGATGCAAGCGGCATCCGTCAAAGTCAACTCTCGCAAGCGCATGAACGCTGCGGGAGCCTCTACACGGCCAGTGGAAATCACTCTCGACAAGTTGAGGCCCCTCTTCCATATGCGGCAAGAAATAGCAGCTGACATGCTGGTATCTCCTTTTTCCGTCTAGGCCATAGCCTGATAGATTGTTGACAGGGAGTGTCGCTGTCAAGTCTGAAATCATCTTGCCGTCGTCTCGGACTGACCAGATGGCCATACACAAGGTTTGTATCCAATGAAGGAAGCTCATTCAAATCGGTCCTAGTAGAGAGCAGCATAGATGCAGAATCTTCCGTTGCATCATCTGACACGGTGATCGCGCCAACTGAGAACGTGAACCACCCTGCAGAAGAAGAAGAGGAAACTCAAGACGAACCCTGTCACAGCCCTCAATCAGACTCAACCATGATTGACGGAGAATTCATATTGGATCCTATATGGATATCTTGGTATGTCAGTCTAGACGAATCCGATGCTGAAGAGATATGAGCAAACATTCGAAAATGAGCTTCTCAAACACGAGAATGTTTGAAAGTTGCGAGTGCATCAACCGCAAGGATCAATGGGACATAAACAGCAGGAATCCAGTCATGACAACACTTAGCATCTGCTTTTCTGCCGCATACCGGTTCGGTGAATGTTCACGCTAGTTGTTTATTTGTTTTGTACAAGTGTTCTGATGATAGTAAAAGACCTCATCAATTACATTTTGACCCTCAATTACATTTTTGTGTTACCCCAATTACATTGTAACATTAAATCATTATTTAGTGGTATTCGATTGAGTCATACCTCATAAGATAAAGCGACATGAAGGGATACAAAGCCCTCATGAAAAATTATGCCACCGAAATATCTTGATGGATACTCTACGTACAATTTTCGAATCCAAAACCTCTTGCAACTCGCTGTATACCAGTCTTTGTCCAGTCAAATCCAGTCAAGCCAGGTAGCCTCGATGCCATGAGAGCTGGACTCCCACAAAAATGCTTGTATTTCGTTTGCTTCTGTGATTTCGTTCGCATCAGTTCGGATTTCGGAGATATTCTGAGTCGCATCCGTCTTGTCATGAGCGATTACTGTAGTTTCCTTAGAAAAAATGAATCGTTGATCGTATAAAGTAGATTCGAGATCAATTCTGGAGATTTCGTCTCTGTGGTCGTCATCTCCCTCTATTGCGAAATTGAGGTCTTGGTGGCCCCCGTCCGTGCAGCCGCCAGAACATGCAAGTGCGGCAGATTCTCCAGCTTCGCTCGATTCTGGCACGTCCTGCCTAGCAACTGTTGGAGAATCCATAGGGCTAGCAGGTGAGTCAATGCGGCTTCTAGTATAGGGCCATCGTTTGATCCCAAGCCTTCTGCACGCGCTCTTGAGACTTGAAAGCGAGACACCCTGAGGTAACATTTCACAACAAGTTCACAACTTGCAGGAGAATTTTCTATCCTTACCAAGTATTGTGCAGCATCTTCCTGGCGAATGCCAAAAAGTGGTCTCAAGACACTCTCTTGCAGTTGGACCTTGCGGACTGTAATATATCCATTTGCATTCCTCGGTCTTGCATTTACTTGAACTGCACTCGACATCGGGAGAATCCACTTTGAAAAGTTACCAAAGGTTTCAGAGCTATCGAGTGACAGAACTGTCAAGTACTGTAGTCTAAGTCAAGCTTTTCAGCACGGCAGGTTGCTCTGATATTCAGCGATACGAATCGCCGAGGAGGCAGGAAGGGGGGGCTATAATATTGTTGCACAGCAGACCACCGGTGTGAAGGGGGAAGGAGCAAGCGGAAATCCGGAGAGTTCCGCGATTGGATATATCCATTGACAAGGGTCTTCAGAGGGGCAGACATGGGTGGGTAGGTGCTCCGAGAGTGACGTGTTGAAGATGTTTTAGGGGTAGTGGAGAGGGAAACAAAATTTGGACTAGGAAACACCGGGTAAAAGTCGAGAAATGAAGGGGTGGTCCAGCATGGGGGAAAGTTGTAGGGAGTGGGTCCTTTGACCACTGGATATTGTGTTGATATGAAGAGTATGGGGGTGGTGTCAGCATCACGAATGGTTTTAAAAACATATATTCCTCGGAATGTACCCAAGTACCGAACATGGCTCTTTTAAAACCTTAATAAATATACATTCTTTTTCTTGAGCTAAAATACAGATATAGCTTTACCTTTCAATTCAATGATCCTGAAAACAATCGTTTTCGGGAAGTCTGCACAGCGGAAAAACATGTAGCACCACATTGAGCTGCCAGGGAGATTTGCGACCCATGGGGGCATCGAAGGTCGGAGGGACCCCACCATAGGTCGTATGTCCACCCCCTGGTACCCGTGTTTGAACCCACCCGTTTACAGACTGTCATCAGAGTTTAAGCCCTCCGTCGGCCCCCGGAACAGTTTTAGACCAAGGAAATGCGACCTATGTCCTAGGTCTCTAGAGTAAAAGCTCTGTGATCTTCTGTGATTCGCTCCTGCGTAGAATTTAAAAAGAATGACAACTTTTCCTTACCAAAACGAGGCAACAAATGCAAAGTTTCAAAGTTTGTTCACATCCTATTATGCTCTACTATCATTCACATAGACACAGTACAGTACAGTTCAGGTGTGCCAGCTCAGGCCACTCATGACTGCTTTTGAGCGGATCATTACTGAGTGAAACTTGCAAGTAGGTGTCGCAGCCACTCGTGTTGATTGTGTTGATATTGAACATGGGTAGCGGGCCAGTGTTCTTGGCGGGCCAGTTGAATCCAATCGACGGTCATTCAAGTCATCTTGTTCACTAGTTCAATGGCATTCAGCATAATTCATCGACGCCTAAATCATTCCTCGACAGCAATCCAGAGGCTTTGTTCTAACAAACTTCGAGTTGGAACATGATCTGAAATATCACGACTGGACTGGATGATATATTATCTGCACTATGCAAGAATGCATCAAGAAATATCCTGAAATATTTGCATGGTTCCAAGTGCAATACAGCAATACGGCCGTGCCAGTGTAGGTATGAAATTTTATAATTTACAAATCGCAGAACAATCACACGTTCCTACGCACTACGCAATTGAACAGTTATCTAAAAGAGAAGTGATGAACAGTTATCTAAAAGAGAAGTGTTGTAAAAGAAAGAATTCAAAAATTATGGAAACAACGGTGTTTCATTATCAATGATGTCACTGTCTCCCACTTCAATGAACCAGCGAATCCACTTCGAATCCACAACTTCAGCACCTTCTGCCGATTCTGTGTGTTCACTTCCACTCTCTGAAAGCCCTTCAATATTGTCCTCATGGTCATCCTCTTGGTCCTTCATTTCTTGTGATGAGGAATCACTGCTAGTTTGGGAATGCTGGAAGTCTTGCTCGTTTGAAAGTGAAAAACTCTCATCTCCATTGTTCAAGAGCACGCTGACGAAGGTATCATGCTCCTCGTTTCGCTTTCGAGAGTATGGCCATCGCGAAATTCCTAGCCTACGACAGGAGGACTTAAGGCTCGAGAGGGAAACTCCCAAAATGGCTGCTGCGTCTTCCTGCCTCATGTGATAGAATTGCTCTAGTGCGTTGACTGTCAACTCAACCTTCCTTGTCTTACGTCCAGAACCGTCCTGTACTCTTGTCCTCGCGTTAACCTTCACCGCAGCAGCTTGCATGGTTTTGGAGTCAATTGGAGTCCCCGTGCTGGAAATAACAGGTTGTGGGTTCTATTTCCACCTGACCCTGACTTTTATCTCTTGTCCCCCTGTACCCAGTACCCCAATTTCTCCTGTGCACTACCCTGTCTATTTCCTTCTTTCTTGCCACCCCACCACCAATAGAGTTTCGGCCCCCTTTCCCAAAGTAAAAAGCACCCCACCTCCCTCGAACAATATTTAGGGACCCTGTAATGGGATTGTGAATACCCCCACCCTTCTTTTCTCTGTCAAGAAACCCCACATCCTGACCTGTTTGCGAACTATTTCCGACCCCTACCCCTGTTTCCTGTTGGAGTACCCTACCATTTGCAAGAAAGTCTTAGACAATATCCTCTTCTGGACCATTCTAGGATTTTACTACATCAACAATCTCCTCCGTATCTCCACTACAACGTTTTATTTCTGACAGTCAAACCCCAGGTGTTGACTCCCACCCCACCCTTGAGAGTCAGCGTCCGGAAGCCAGGTTCGGAGGGCCCAGAGGGGGTATAGGTACGATTGAAGGGAAGACGCATCTCAAGAAGCTGCAAGGGCGGCCGCGTAAAGTAAAGGAAGCGATCATATTGGTCTTTACTCAAAGTTAAGTTAAACATTACTACGCCCCCGGCTGTTGACTACCCTTCTATACAGAAAGGCCGGGCGGAAGTGGCGGCACGGCACGGACTCCAAACCGTGACGGTGACGGGTCAAAAAACCTTTCAAAGTTAAAACTGTTAAGTAACAAACTTAGGCAACGAGGACACCCAGGAGACTCGGTACTTCAGAGGACTGTAACGGTGAGAACCAACAGTGCCGACTGCTGTCCCCCAAACTTAACTGATACCTTCACTTCAGTAACTACTACCTTAACCGTTCAGTGAAATGGACACCGCCCCCCCGCGGAGCCTCGGATCATATCGGATGCCCAAAGTCATCCTCACGGACTCCGGCGGATGGCATCGTCAGGCACGTTACTCAGTGTCTCAGTGACGACTACCGGGCCGTACTCCGTGCTGCGGCGTACCGTAGTACGGTACCGTACGGTACCATGACCGTACCATGACAGTGACATGATACTAGTAGGCCGACGCGCTGTGTCGACGCGCGGCCCAGTGACCGTACGGTGATCGGATCGGACCGTCCGAATCCGTGGCCCTGTGGGGTGCCGGGACTCATGATCCGAGCCCAGACGGACGGGAGTCAGTATGGAAGGACCATGCTACCGTCGTGCCGGATGCCAGATTGACCGTGAGTGTACTACCGTAACTTGGCTACTACTGACAGTCACCGAGGCTAGTCACAGCGATCGGGATCGGAGCCCCCGCCGCCCAGCCTGGATTCCGTGCCATGGCATCAAGAAATCGTCGCCTTCCCTGAGCAAGCGGTTGAAAAAGTCACTCAGTGACTACATGATCAGCTGTACCGTAGTCTGACCTGCCGTTTCATCCATCATGACTTGAATGGCCTGTTCGCGGATCTCTTCTTCTAAACATGTGCCCAATCAGATCCTGAGATGCCAGCGTGCGCCGCTGACTCACCCACGTTCACTTTAAAAGCAACGTCCTCGCCAAAGTTCTCGTCTTCGATGATCCTGATCAGAACAGCGATCATGATCGAAGCACTGGACCGCAGGTGGACTGCTCACCCTCCCAGGGCTTCGAGGGATGATCGCAACTTTGCATAGAGTCCATAATCGACACCAGATACAGCCAGCCTGACGCGGAAGACTCGCTCCACTGTCTTGGAGCCCAAGAGAGTTACCTGCCGTAGGGTGAGGTAAGGTGCTTAGACCCTGGAACGTCCTCCTCTCGTACCTGTGCACACTCGGTGTATGCCTTGACTAGACCTCCTGTTCCTAACTTGGTCCCACCGAAGTATCTTGTCACCACCTTCACACCTCCGTCAGCAAAGAAGGCCTACGCTAGGGGATCAAGTACCAGTGTGCAATCAGTGACAGAACTGCCGGCAATGACGTTGAGGATGGGCCTGCCTGCAGAATAATTCCTTACTTCAACATGTCTCCTCTCTGTTACATCACGAGCACCTGCTGTTCCCGATGGCTCCCCGTCATCGCTCATGCCCTCGATCGAGCTGTATAGAGCAATTAATACTCGACCACAGTGTCATCAGTCGATCCCTACCTTGATGCATCGCCGATCTTGAAAGCTGTGCATACCATCATAGAACATGTCAGAGTTGCAGTTTGATGGAGCGGCAGGCGGTATACTCATCCCCGGCCTTACCGTAGCAGTTATGCCTTGCGTCGGGATAGCGCACTTTCATGTCAGCGATGAATTTCCTGTACTCCCTCAGGGCAAGGAGCACCTCGAAGCTCTTTCATTCACCTCGCATCTTCAACTGAAGGAGTGTATGCTAACGTCCCAATGAAGCGGCTATTCTTCACCTTGATTTCTGCTGATGTTTCTTCAGCAGGCGTAAACCAGGCGGACTTTCCTTCGCTGGCCATCATTCTAGGAGATGCATTTCTACTTCCTCTCGTGTTACTCTTCTTGGAAGAAAGGAATCGACCCAGTACAACCGAACGGCATGATCTCATCCTCCCCTGTCCATTGCAAGCCGCTGCACCGAACGTGTGCCCATGGACCAGAAGCGCGAACCCATGCGCTGCTGGGAACCGGCAAAGAGCGATCATGCTGATGAGGGAAAGAGTAAGGAGCAGCTTCAGGCAAGAAGAAGCTCGTCGGGATCGGATCTCTGTCCCTCGTCCTCGACCCTCTTGGAAGCGCCAGAAGGTCCTGAGAGCATGCGCATCGCCGCACTCCTCTCCGCTCATCCCATGGCCTCCCCGTCGCAATCTGAAAGTTCACTCATTATAGAAGACTAAAGTTTCTTGTACAAATATTCTGTTGATAAACTCATCCTTTATAAGAACAATGTGTCCGCCTCAGTGCCAAAAATAGAAATTGCAAAAAGGCAGAAGCATTTTGGAGATCGAGTGAGGAATTTCGGACCTGTCGGACGCCATGGAGGAGGAGGAGCCAGGGTCAATGATCATGATGGGAGGAGGACAGGAAGGGATCGATCGAGACGAAGCTCGCACGAGATCGTGCTGGTCATGGTGGATGACAGCGCATGACTGCTGGAGGCGAGGCGAGGCCCATGAGTGTGGAGAAGCGCTGAAACGAGCGAGGGGAGCCGGGCTATCGGAGGAAGCGAATGTACGTTGAATCTCCCCCCCGTTACTTGAACTACCCGCTGCCTGCACCTCCTGGACGAAGTTTCATCGACAGCCTCCGGTGGCGGCAGAGCTTCGGACTCCCTGCCTTCGAGAGCCTGACACCAACTCAAAGCAAGTGTTGGCTTCGGTGTGATGAAGAACATTTCAACATACCCTCGCAACGTACATGATCAACGACGCGTTGTTTCCTTACATTATCTATATGCC